TACCCGGCCATACCTAGAAACGTTGACAATTCCGCGGCTTATTTTGGTTCCGGCATTTTAACGATCGCCTCGATCTTGTCATGGTTGGCGTGGATCCCCTTGGCGTCGATGTCGTGTCCTAAGAACCTTAGACTTTTTTTGAAAAATAAGCTTTTTGCAAAATTAGGCACTAAACCATGAGATAGTATTCTTTCAAAAACCTTCTTTATGTTGTTGAAATGAACTTCGTCACTACTTCCCGTAATTAGTAGATCATCAATATAAAATATGACATCTTTCATGTCACTGAAAATTTGATCCATAATTTGTTGAAAAATCGCAGATGAAGTCTTTAACCCAAAAGGAAGTCTAGTAAACCGGTAGTACCCCCTGTGTGTAGATATAGTTAATATGTCTCTGCAGGTTTCATCGATGGGAATTTGTAGGAACGCATCCTTGAAATCTATCTTGGTGAACTTCCCTTCCTTGAGCTTAGCGATAAGAACATTTATTCTTGGAAGTGGGTATCTGAAGTCCTCAAGGGCTGGGTTGACAGTGTCTTTGAAGTCTGCGCAAACCCTAACGCTCCCATTATCCTTGTAGACAGCGGTTATCGGACTTGCCCATCGGACATCTGTTACAGGCTCAATTACTCCATCTCCTATCCATCTCATAAGTTCTCTAGTAACAGCGTCTATCTTTGAATAAGGTAACCGTCTAGGTGGTATGATTTTCGGTTTGGCGTCGTTACGTAGATATATCTTGACATTCCCTTTATTGATCGGTTTTTTAGTCAGTTTAGATTCGCAATCTTTTATTAATTTCTTTATTTCATCTTCATAGTTGGTATCAATGTTTGCTATAAATTTGTTCAAAATATTACTAAAGGCATTAATCCACATACGTCCCAATAACGCATTTTTATTAGATTTAACGATCACGGCTTGCAAGTGTTTGGTGATACCTTCGTAGGTTACTTTAACTTGAGTGACGCCAATAATTTTGATTAAGTTTCCATCATAAGCTGTGAGTTGTAGAGTGGACTTTTTAAGATCTTTAATACCTATTTGTTTAGCCATATCATGAGGTATAATTGTAAACTTGGATCCCGTATCAACCTGCATAGTAACAACAGCATCATTTACTTTTAAAGTAGTCATGAACGCATTATCATTAAGTTTAAACTCAGTTAAATTGTTGATATTAAAATCACTACCATTATTATTTTGTGTAGGGTTATATTTTTCTTCAACAATCTCTTCAATGTTCATGTTACAATTGATGTTACTTTGATTCATGTCATTATATTGTAATGGTTTTCTTTGATTAATATTTTGATTATAATTTTTCCACGTATTATTTTCTCCATTATTGTTGTTATTATAGGATTGATATTGATAACCATATCGATTATTATATTGACTCTGATTTCTTTGATTGTTGTAAGACCAGGAATTGTTTCTCCCATTATAATTATTGTTTTGCCAAGTACCTCTACCATAATTGTTTGAATTGTTATTGTATTGCCAGGCATTGTTTCTATTATAATTATTGTTATGCCACATGGAGTTTCTTCCGTAATAGTTTGAATTGTTATTCGAAGATTGGTTATTACGAAAATTTCTAGAGTTACCCTCACTGTCTCGAAAAATATTGTTTTGATAGTTTCGGCTAGCACTATAATTAGGCCTAAAATCATTATAATTCCTCTTCTTAAAATCAAAATTTTCCTTATGAGTGTTACGTCCATTATAATTAAAATTATTTTCTTTAAAATTATTACGTTTATAATCATTAGAATTATTCTCATTATTACTAAAAGTACTTTTGCATGGTATTTTATCCATGTTTAAATTGTAAAACTTTTTATTTTTATCCAATTTTTTATCATTGTCTACATAATTTGTATCGCTAACGTCTGGTTTAATATTGCTGCCATCTAACTCCACTCCTAATTTCATCATCTTATCTAAACCTTCGTGCTTATGTTTATTTAACTTCCTTCTAATATTATCATTTAAAGAACAAGTTATTAATTTCTCAATCATTCTTGTATCGTTATCAAAATCGCATTTTTTATGAAGTTTTGAAATTCTAAAATAAAAAGTATGGAAGGACTCCTCGGCACCTTGTACCGCTAAATTAAAGTTCTTTATATTTACATTAATGTCCTCACTTGGAATTAACAGTTTCAATTTACCAAAAACAATATTAAAGTCTTTTAACTGTGCTTTAGAACATATCGATGTAACTTGGTCTACAATCTCAATTGGTAAGCTACATATTAGTGTCCTAACTTTAGATGAGTCTGACTCAATATGTCCTTCAAAGTATGTTTCTATTAAGTTAAGATAAGTCTCAGATAATTTTCCTGATAACTTGGGAAATTTAGGAACATATTGAGTGTGTGTAAGAGTTAATTTTTCGTCCATGATATAATTTTATTTGAGTAAAGTAAACTTTCAATATTTAAAATCGTAAAAGCAAAACATTGTAGTTCATTAAAATCAAATTTAAGTTGTCTAAAAATTTTAATTTTAATCAAGAGAATATGGTTTAATAGTTTGTCTATAAAAATTCTAATTCGAATTCGTAAAGAGGATTTAATCCACTAAGTTTCAATATAATTTGTCTGTGAAAAATTTAATACTAATTCGTGACTAAGTTTTTTAAAAAAAAAATTTTATTGATATTCTATAGGTTAAACATTGCGTAAATTTATATTTAATAACAAAATATAGGGAAAATTTTCTTTACCCTTTTTATAATTTTGTAAATTTGGATAAAATTTTGACTATCGAAAAGAAAAGTCAAAAAATTTTATTTGTCCTTTATCATCTCCCATATCGAACGACGAATTTGATAAGTAATTCGTTTTTTTTATTTTTTACAAAAGAATTCAAGGTAAGGATATATTTTTTTAAAACTTTTATTATTTAACTTTATTTTATTTTTTTTCTAAAAAAAGAGAAAGAAAAACGAAAAACGTACCACCGTAACCGGGGCACCATAAAAGAAAGTGTTTTTTATATACGAAACTATTTAAATTACTTCTTTTTTTAAATCAAATTTTATTATTATCTTTATATCTAAAAACATAGTATATATATATATAAAAAGTTAATTGAACATATTAAACAATCAACTTTAATATATTTTAAAAATAAACAATATTCAAATAAAACTAAAATTAACTATTCAAATTTAAATTTATAATCAATCAACAAACATATAAAAAATTGCTAATAAGCTGTGTATACATTTTTTGAGATCATTAATGACATCATAAGAGTTACCACTTTTAATGCCTCCAATAAAATATAATGCCTCTATCCTATCTTGCTCTCCTGTTGCGAGACTATAGTTTAGCAAAGTTTTTGGGGTGATGTTCTTTGCTAAAATTGATTTATTTAAATTGTATATCCAATATTTTATTATGAAATTTCCTTATCTTGAAATTTCATTTACGATTATTTAAAAAAAAGATATATTTTGGGCTACAATATTTTATTTATTAGCGTTTATGAATATTTTTTTAAAGTAGTACTTAAGTAGCAACGCTACATTTAAAATAATAGCTATTTTTTTGAAAAGGTAGTTGTTGGCATCCAATCCTAAACTATATACGTCAAAACAAAAACAAAATTTAAATATACATTAGAAACAGGAACTTCTACACATACCCCCACTCCCTTCCATCTCATCTCATCTCACTTTGAATTTTATATTTTATTACTCACTTATGTTATATAAGTAAAATATTTAAATCTTAATATTTTGAATCGATATTTTCAAAAATTTGATATGAATATGACTAATAATACTAAGACGCAGTCCCAAGCAAGAAGTTTGAATTTTTTAAACCAAATTCTGGCCAATATGTATAGTGCTTAAATAATATGCATATCAGTTTAAGCTTCAATCCATTTGGTAAACTTGTATATAAAAAGTTATTTAAAATAAGAAAATTACTAAAATTCATATCAAAATTTAAGATAGTACTGAGAATCTAGAAGAACGAAAACAATTTTAATAAAAAATTAAATATGAAAAATATTTTGAAGAAATTACTATCTTATCAAGTTTTTTTAACCACTTAAATTTTCTTTTAATTGACATTGATAATTCATAATATATATATTCCAGTCATAAGCTATAATATAATAAAAATAAAAAGGCGCTCAATTCTATATAAAAAAATTAAATATTCAAAATTAACAAATTATGGTTTTTTTACCAATCGTTATCTCTTTTTTTGGATACATATCAAATGGAAATTTAAATTTTTTTAAAAATATAGTCGGCAAAATAAGAGCACTTATATCAGAACTCGAGGCTTATTTTTTAAAACAAAATATTCAACAAATTACTATTTTAATATATGATTTTATTATGGGAACTTGTAGTCCCCAGTTCCTTAAAAGAGTGCCTTTATATTTTTATATTAACTTTTTATTATAATTTAAAAAATAAAAATTCAATCTCTCAGGCTGTAGCTTTGATATTTTTATAATTTGTGGTAGTCATACTTGTGGCATCTTTGGAAAATGTGACACCAAAATAAAATAGATTTATTATGGTGAAATTGAAACAATTAAAATAGCTGTTTATCTCATACGCCAAGTTTAAGTGATTGTTTAATATGAAGTGCGCTTTTACAATTGAAAATAGAAAATGGAGGCCTCCCGTTTTTTATTTTTAAAGTTATAATTTGTAACCAATTTTTTATGTATAAATTTTAATGCATTAATTATGGGTTTTAAAAAAGAAAACAAATTTTCTCTAGATATCAAAAAAGTAATTTAAAAGGTTTAGATATTCTATCAGCAAACTCATATTCATGCCAAACTATATACTATAATAATGCATTTGTAAATGAAGGGGTTAAGAATAAAAAAATAATTTACCTAATCATGTTTATTTGCTATAAAATTGAGAAAACATGCTTTATTAAATAAAATAAAAAATATTTCAAAATAAATAGTCATATAATTTTTTCTTATAATATAAAGTAGTTATGATAGCATTGCTATCTAATAATCATAATAATAAAATATTCCTTCATTTAATCTAGCTCCATGTATCTTGAACTAGAAGCTATCTGATTAGAATTAAAGTTATAATCCAACGAACACTCATTAACACTATTATCATTATTTGAACTAATATCGCAACTATTCTTAATTGGTTTTAAAATTTTATAGTTATGGTTATGTTTATCATGTAGATTATCTAATACAAGGGATAAATGAGCTTGCAAGTTAGGTATCAGCTCGCTGTCGTTCCCATTTGATAACAATAAATGACTCGCAATTTTTATATTAGGCTCAAATACGCCAGAATTGTGTTGCATTAAATATGAGTTTTTCGATTCGGACGTTTCGTCAAGTCTCAATTCTTCATTATTGGCGAAAGAATAGTTTTGACTACCCTCAATTGTATTTTGTGTTATAAGATCCGTAGAATGAAGGTTTATTTCTAAAGAGGTGGTGATCCTATCAATATCTTGTCTAATCTTGTCCTTGTTCGAAAAATTACCTATAGTATTGGGACCAATTTTTCCACGTTGATGCCTCTGTTCCATGCACAGGGCCCAGTCTAGATATTTTAAACATTCTATCTTACGACCCATTTTTTCATGCACCTTCAATATTTTTTCAGATATTATTTTAAAAGTATAAATAGAAAAATTGGTATGTATTGTAAAGAATTTATCAAATCTTACATAAATTTAATGAGTAAAATATGAAAATTGGATCGTTAAATTTTAAAAATAAGTTAAAATTCAGTGATTTTATACTTTACAAAAAGTAAAATAACCTTAGCAATGGAATGGTAAATTTTAGACTCATCAGGGGCTAATTGACTCAATTCCATCAATTCCCTTAAAGCGTCGTTGTAATTTTTTTGGTGATTTAAAAGCAATTCGGCCCTATAAAATTTTGCTAAAATTAGCTTTGGATCACTCTTCAACGTGTCATCGAAACATTTCATGGCCTGATCGTACTTACAAAGTTGTTTATAAACCTGACAAGAATAGTAACAAAAAATAGTTAAGGTGGGCTTCTTTCTCAAAATCGAGTAGTCGGGCTAGTATTTAAACTTACCTTGTATTTTCAATAGTATAGAAAAATATAAATGATAATTTCAGAACTGTCCTTCAATGGGTCAACAATAAATTGATAAAAATAATATTTATAAGTAAATTAAAGTTTTTTTTAAATTATGACTGGCATAATTCCCTTCCAAAAATTAAAAATACGTATTTTTAATTTTTGGTTGAAATAAGTTACTAATTTTAAGATTGAATTTTTTATTTTTTCCAGCTGTTAATTTTTATTCATTTTTAAGGATAGGTTAAAAAATATTAGGTTGCTTTTATTTTAAAACCATTTTTTTTTCACGAGGCATTCTATTGCCTCCTTACTTTATACCCTTATCAAAAATGATTACTATCTTAGACATTGGTAATTGGCCAGAAAAACAACGATATTTAAGACGATTCAAGGATAACAAAGATCCTGCGCTCGATAGAATATGAGGAAAATATAAATGGAACACTCCGATCACGCCTTTTATTTAGAAATGATCAATTAACACAAATGTTCCACCTCTATCTTTCAGCAACCCAACACTTGATTAAAAAATAGGCAGAACAACTAGATTTTCTGTTACAAAATCGGAAATGCGAAAAATAGAAATTTTATTTTCTTTCTTAGATATAACCTTGTTAAACTATTTTTTGAAAAAAAATTAGGGGAAAAAATATTTGGCATTTTTAAACTTCTTAGTTCCATCAAGCTTTAATAATACTGTCTTAGGAGATTTTAGGTATAAACACGGGGAATACTAATAAGAGATTTTTGAAAATATATATGTAAAATTTATATTGTCCCATCATTTTTCTTGTGGTTGAACTTAGAATCAGTATCCTTATTTTTCCCTTAAGGGATGATATAAATCAATTTTCAATCCAAAATATTTAAAAAGATAAGAAAATCGATACAGTAAAAATAAAATTGTAATTAATTTAGTAATATACAAATTTTTGTCATTTCTTACAATGGATTCAATTTATTAATTATCCGATCAGATCTTTAGCCCCTTGAAGTAGTGAAGCAAACTCTTAATCATTCTAAAATTTAAGAGTATTTATATTAATTTTAGAAATATAATCTTAACGACGGGGGAGGATTAATATCAAAATGTGGCCCTTTAGGTAGGCTATTGGCATCATCTATAACCTGCCCTGAATTTATAATAAAATGCTTAGTCCCCAGTAGTGTTGTTAAACGTCTAGATTTAAGCTTATTTTTAAAAACGGTTAACTGAATATATTATACAGAAAAATATTAAGCAAGCCTGAATATTTTGCTCATTGATGGCACAAAGGTTTGAACATCTATTAGCGAAATCTCAAGGCATAGACAATATTTTTCTGGCTAAAATATGGAGTTAGCCGTTTTTAAAAATCGGCTCAAATCGAGCCGTTTAACAACACTATTCCCCAGTAGCTCCCCTTGACAAGAAATCCCGGAAAATACGATAAATTAAAAAATTGATTTCTATAAGATTATATATAAATAATCTTGAGATAATATTATGGTTTTAAAAATCGGAAAAATATTTATTAGTTTTGGTATAATTATAAATCGAATTTGAGAATTTTTTTGTAGTTAAACTTATGATTATGAAATAAATAAAAAATACTATTCCAAGATGGCACATCATAATAGCCCGTTTTGGATTTATCGATAAAGCTTTTTTATAATAATATTCTGATTTTTGATATTTCTCAGATTTGAAGGATACCATACCTAATCCATACCTATTTCATAAAAATTAAAACAAAAATAATTATGATTTGTTAGACATATCGAAATTATGTATACATGTCATGGGATTTAGTAAATCTGAGATTTTAAGTAAATTCTTAATATCCTGTCATTTTCAGTTCCTTTTTTAATTTTGAAAAACTTGATTTTGTCGGAATCGTATTCCATCATGTATAGAGAACCTACTCTGTAGATTATAGACAATTTTGGCGTTAAATTTTGAGTTACTAATAACTTAAATTAATTTTTGTAATAAAGTGTCTGAAATTCATATGGTTAGGTGCTATATACTACCGGCAAAATCGGGTCTTTTAAAATAAAAAAAATATAGACATATATAATTTAAGTTTATTTATATTAGTTATAGAGGTCAATGAAAGTAGCCCTGATTTTGAAACTTCTAGGACATTATATACTCTAGTAAAACTAAATATTGTTTGAGCAGCTAATGTCATTCTATAAACAATATTTACATAAGGGAGAAAAAAACTTAATATAATATTGTTTTTTTTAAATATTTTTCTTTCATTATAAAAAATAGGAAACCAAGCGTTATAATGATTTTGGTCGATTTTGATGGCGTTTTGGAAGGCTATATTACCCATTTCTAAATCTCCCGAGCTAACATATTCATGACCCAGCACAGTGTAAGCGTAAGGCATTTCAGGATTCAACTTTTAATTCATAAATAATTTTTAAAATTAACGTTGGTTTTCTTTAGTTTTTATTTTGTGCAAAAAAACACAAATTTTTACTAGTCCTTATTTTACACTTAAGCTTTAATATTAAATTATATTATTTAATAATTTATGTCATGGTATGCACAGGCCTCGACAAATCATAATTTGTAATTTTATCATATATGTGGTAATGGGATATGGAATCCGTGGGGAATCAAAATATCTCAATTTTAACATCTACTTAAAGTGATTTTTAGATATAAGATTAAACCAAAATGGTATTCCAGCATGTAAAGAGTACTCACGATGTGATACAAATAATTTTGCCTTTGACTGAACTAATTTTATTTATAATAATTATATAGATTTTTACATAAATGTTCATGGCAAAATTTCCCGAAATTCATAGCGTGAGTTCTTTAAACTCTAAGTATATTGGAATGCCTTTCTGATCGAGTTAGATTTCCCAAATTTAAAAATTGTCATTAGTAAATGATTTACCTAAAGGATTTCATATCCTGATACAACATATATATAACACTTAAACAAATAAAATCGGGTAACGATCAATTAATTTATTTCAAAGTAGGTAATATTGTACATTAGCAAAAAATTTAAAATTATTTTAAATATTTCGTTGAAAGGGGAACTATTTTTGGCAGGTCTTTTTTGTCAGACATTTTTTGTCAGTACAAAATTAAACCCATAAAATATGAATTAATAAAACGATCCCTTTAATATTTGTATTTTTTAGCTCTACAATACTTATAAACTATTTAATAATTCTCACTAATAAAAGTAAATGTCCGGTCTATTGGTCTTCATTAAGGATATCAGTCTATTCCAGGTTTTAAGGAATTGGCCCGAAGTACATAATAGAAAATTTGTGTAACTAAAATACTTATACTACAATATTATTACATAATTTTATTCGTGTTTAAAAAGAAATTAAGTAAATTTTGCTTTAAAAAAGGTTTGCCCAAACTTTTCAATTTGAAAAAAGGACCGCATCCCTTGTTTAAATTGAGCTGCCTTTATTTGTATCGTCGGTACAAAATTTTAACTAGGTTATAAAAAAGAATCGTGTAAATTATATTATCATCTGTCCTTTTATTCCATTAATTTTTAAATACTCCATTTTAAAAGATAATATTTTTTTTATATTTTATATATTAAATTTAGATTACCTATATTAAGCAACTAGAAAAGAATTTTTAGTGTCCTGTCCTTATTATTTTTCTATGTGTAACAAGGTTTGACGGTTTTCTCGCGAAAAACTGATTTCTTAAAGAACTGGTCATAGAACAATGTGCACAATGAATGAATAAACAAGTATTGAAAAAAGCAAACCACCTTTTTTAAAATTTTTCTAAAGCCAAGTGGTAATTTGACCAATTTGCACGACATCATAAATGCATTATTTACGCTTTTTGAAACGCTCATTTTGAGCGCACTATAGTAGTATAAATTAATAAGAACGTTTATAAACCGATATTTTGTCTAGGACCGCGCTTCAGTCTTCCAAAATGAAGCCTGAATGGTGACCACTAAAAAACAATGGTCATAAATTATGTTTCTCCTTTATGACTTTCAAGAGATAAATCTATAATTTTAATCTCCACAATTGTACAATAAACATTTTTCTTAATTGCGCTTTTAATAATCCGAAAGCCTACTTAAAAGAACTTATTTTGGCAGTAAGAAACGATTTCTTTCCTAATGTTTAATTTAATGATGAGCATTCGAATAATAATGATCAAATAAGATTATACTGTACTAAACTTGTATAGCTCTCTTGATAGATTTGATGGCCTGCTCGTGATCCCCAGCTAGTCCGAAGCAATTCGCCACTACGCACCAAGTCACGTGCGAGGAACGGTATTCCTTGGATAGAACGCTAGCTAACGCCGATAGCTCGTAATGTTTCTTCAAATGCCATAAACAGGAACTATAAATCTCGCAGCCGTCTATGTTGAAAGGGCGCTGTTTAATCGCTTTTTCGTAAAGGACGCATGCCTATAAATAATATATATTTTAAAAAGTAAAAAAAAAATTGGTGCATCGGATGGATAAGAGTGGTAATTGCATTTTGAAAAATATAGATTAAAAGCTATGAGGATAACCTAATGATACAGGAATCGCGATACAATGATTAATTTCTGTCATTCAAAAAAGAACTACATATACTTTATATAATGATAATTGTTGTAAGCAAGTTAAATTATGTTAGTCAGTTATATAAAAAAAATTACAATTTATTGTCCACAAAATTTAATATCATTTACCCGTGTAAAGTTAAATTAAAATTTATATCGATAGGATTAATATTATAAAACATAAATCTTAGATTAGTAAATTAAAAAAGTATGTGTATTTAAAATATTTTTCTTTCACGAAGAGCAATTTTGAACAAAGCTAACTGTGAATATTTTAATTCAACTCTATATAAAATCCCGACAATATAATTCGCCGAGATGTGGCAGACACTACAGCTTTTCAACGCTATAAACGGAAAAAGATAATTTAAGAAAAATATGATTAATATTAAGAGAATAATAAAGTTTTCTCATATAAAATCCGACATTTGTTTATAACTTTGTGGTAATCAGTCATTTCGTAATAGGTTTTGGCTATGAGACAGAGCACGTAAGGAAGGTCATGGTGGGCGGAAACTAATTGTTGGAATGCATTCAGTGCTTCCGCAGTTTCATATCTCGACAGGTAAGAGTGAGCTCGAGATATTATATTGAGAGCTTGAGCTACATTTCCTTATGGCAAAAAAAAAATATTGGTATACTTGGAAATTATGTTTTACCAAAAATTTGAAACCTGGACAAAAATGGGTTCTAGTTGTTAATATTTTTTTAAAAAGTGGTTCTAATTCCAAGTTCCCAAAAATTAGAAAAAGGGGTTCTGGTTTCTGGTTCATAGATTTGACATGGGTCTGAGGCACGTAACACTTCGAAGAATGTTATCATTTAGGGATTCTAAGAAGTCAATTTCTTGATATAGGAGTTGTGCACATGACCTTTATTATTACACTATTTTTTATAGTTTAGTATATTATTTAAAAAACAATAACCATTTTTTGATAATATTTTTCGACAATATATAGAATTTTTTATAAAAAAATCAATATAATATGCAAATTCTAGCCCTAGTATTTTTAATCGGTTTTCAAATTTATTATTCCTTTATAAAAAAAATTTACCATTCAATGTTTGATGTTTTCAATTTCAAATTTGCGGGTAACAAAATAAAAAATACCTTATCTATCTGCAGAATAATTTTTTTAAAATTGAAACATAATTAATATTATTTTGGCAGACATTTATTATAAGAAATTCGAAGGAAGAAAATGTAAGTGAAAGATTTGAGAAGGGGGAGAAGATTCCCAAAAAAGGCATAGTAATGTTTTGGGTTTACCTTTCAAGGAGTTACTCTAAGCAGCAATAAAAGAAAATTATCACACATTTTTGATTAGCTAAATTAAATTTGTCTTAAAAACTATGTTTGCAATCATTTTTGAGAAATCCTGTTTGTGGTTTTTATCATTATTATCCCCGTTTATGCAATATAGAAATAACTAGTCATATGTTATAGCAATAAATTTGTCAATGTAGATGTTAAAAATTATTTTTTTTTATAAGGGAATCAAATCATTTCACAATTTAGCTTTGAGTTGGACGAAAAGAGTATTCAAATTGTGAATAGAATTATAAAAATGAAATAAATTAGTTATCAAGCAAATAAATAAAACTATATATTTGAATTTTAGTCATGGAATGTTTTTGTTTTTAAAAATAGGAGGCAGTGGCCAAATGAGCTCAAATACAATTCTTTGTATTTTCTATGGTTATTTTATTATGTTTTTATATTATTTTATATTTTTTAGTAAAAATATAAAACTCTATAAGCAGCTAGCAGATTGTAATTGTATTCTCTATTAGATTTTTGTTAGAAAAATTCATTTTTGTGGCAATATAGTGAATTGATCTTTAATAATATATGAAGAGTTTTATAAATAAAATTAAATTCTATATATAAATTGAAACGCGAAAGTGAGATTTAAAAAAATTACTAATCAAAAATATTAAGGGTTGTAAACATTAATAAATTTGAATATAACGAGTTAGATTTCAGGCACTAGTCTTGATCCCAAGTTCAGTTAGGGTTCCAGAATTTTAAAAAAATTAAATTATTATTTTAGAGTAATAAAATATAACAAAATATGAGTTAATAAACAAGTCATGTAATCAATTTATAAATCTTATTTCGTAGTATCATCAATTAACTTATATAAATCTTTAGAAAAATTGAAAAAAATTATTGCACCTTTCATCTTTTTAAAGTAAGGTGCCAGAAGTAAATTATAGTTTGGTAATAACTTTATTTTTATCCAATTCCAAAAATGTCTAAAGATTTTAATAGAAAAATATTATTTCAGCCGCTGGGTTATTTTTGAAAGGATAACTTTATCAATGCCAAAAAAAATTATACTTTTATTATAATTTAGCTATTTTTTACAGTCCTGACAAAATTGGAATTTAACATATTTCAATGTCATAATTAGTAATAAAATATATAATATAAATGTCGTAAATTAATATACCTATGTTCTTTGGCTGCATTTTTAGCTCTGATTATTTAAAGCCCTGCCCTAAATTTTCAAATTTCGTTATTTTGAATATTTTCTCTGTATTTTATAAATTGTTTTATACGGAATTTAAGATAAGTAAATAATATTAAAGCATAATTAAAATGTTTTTCACTATAATATTAAACGGCATAAAAATATGGATTTGTGGCCTTCCGTCTCTCTTAAAGTTGAAATTGTTTTAAACCGTATCATGAATAATAAACCAATTTACACAGTGAGATTTAAAAATAATTAAATAGACAGAATATGAAATTAAAAAATCTTCTTTTCCTATTTCAGAAAGTCTCATAATCATTATGTTTAAAAACATTTATTGTAGGCATTCCCTTTTAGGCAGAATAATATGATTTGAAAATAATTTACAAAATATTAAATTTGAACTAAATTCACATATCATCTCTATTGAAACCACCAAAATATATAATTAAATATATTTTTTATCATTTTAAGATTTATATTTGAAACAGGAGTTGGCATTTATTATTTTTAAATTTAACAATGTTTAAATTTAAAAAAGATAAGATTTTATGTTTTAAAGCTATAAAATTAATGACGATTACAAAAGATTTAATAAGATAGAGGTCTCAATCCAATGTTCCCCTTCATCTAATCTTATTTAAAAAATTTTAAAAATTATCAACATATTTTTTTAGCGCTGGAAAGGGTAAATCATATCAGTAACTAGGGGCTAGTAGAATTAGGTCGAATTAATTATAATGATATAATAAGTATTCATTGGCTACTATTATAGCTTTAAATTCTATTTTTTTCCCCTTTAACTTTCACCTTTTTTGGTGGTTGATAATCAAAAGAATTAGAAAAAAATTAAAAAATTCATTAAAACTTAAACATTTTTTAAAATAAAATATCACATTTTGAAATTTTTTATAAATTATTTATATACAAATGGTGTATTATTGATAATAACAATTATCCTATAGGAGACTTAATAAACCAATATAATCTACAAGCCTGGGGTTTGGGGCTTGTTGGGGCGAAAATTAACTTTTACTAGAATCAATCTTAAAATATAAAATATTAAAATATTTATTAATAGGGTCTTTTGTAAAAAACGACTTAATCTAATCGTTAAAAAAATTGAGTATACCAAATTCCACATATTTTTAAATAAAATACGAATTTCATAAATAACGACGTGTTTTAGAGGTAAATAATTTTAAAACGCCGCTACTTTAAATAAATATAGACAATTAAGCTGGTTTTCTGGTTTTTTGGAAAATGGGTTAAATATAATTTTGTCAAATATAAATCACTATTGCATTGTGATAATGTTGGTTGTAATGCATTCGCGATATTGCATTCGCTATGATGCATTCGCGATAATGCATTCGCTATGATACATTCGCGATAATACATTCGCTGTAATGCATTCGCTATAATGTTTTCGCGGTAATGCATTCGCTATAATGCATTCGCGCTAATATATTCGCTATAATAAATTCGCTATGATGCATTCGCGATAATGCATTCGCGGTATTACATTCGCTGTAATGCATTCGCTATAATATTTTCGCGGTAATGCATTAGCTATAATGCATTCGCTATAATACATTCGCTATGATGCATTCGCGATAATGCATTCGCGGTATTACATTCGCTGTAATGCATTCGCTATAATGTTTTCGCGGTAATGCATTCGCTATAATGCATTCGCGCTAATATATTCGCTATAATACATTCGCTATTATGCATTCGCGATAATGCATTCGCTATAATATCTTTTCGCGGTAATCGACATTCGCGATAATACATTTCGCGGTAAAAGTTTCGCGGGTATTGACGTGATACGGTTGCCTTTGTATACTCTCAAATTTCGTCATTCATTTTTTTTTCAATTAGCATTAATTTGAGTGTAAATATGATTGTCATGTTTGCTTGAATTAGAATGGCCCTATTAAATTGCATAGGCTACAAATTTTGCTGTGTCAAGTAAGATAGCTTAAAAGTTTTTAAGACAAACCTATACTTTTGCCTATTATGAATAAGAGTTTTAAATGTAATTATATCAATTTTAGACTCCATTTTCTATTATTTGGATATCCAAATGTGTTTTTAATATTTATGATAACATTAGTAATGTTTCTGAAGCCTTTTCCCGAGGAATGAAAAACCACAAGCTTTTTTAGTTCTAATTCCTTCCCAGAGCTCTTCAAATTAAATTATGTAACGGTGTCTACTTATCTGACTAAGAATAGTTAAATTAGATTTATATATTTTAAAATATTAATATACCACTCCAGCAATGGGGGACATGGCTGATAAACCACCAAAATCAGATGTCTTATATTAACATTTACAGTAGTTTCAAACCTGGATTCTGTAGGTTTTGAAATTTTGAATATCTTTTGTTCTTAAATTTGATGTGGTTTTGATTACCTAACTGGTAAGGTAGTCTTCAAATAAAAGAGGAAATTAAAACAATAAATAATTTATTCTAATATAATTCACATTACATTTTAAATAAATCTGTAAACTACTTGCATTTTTGATAGAACTGTTTCCTGAAAAGATTAAAATGGATATAACCACATTTATAAAGGGGTTCTGGTTCCTAAATTCATTTGTAATGGTTCAGAAAGTTCCAGTCTAAACTCTGCTGATTTATACCCAAAAAATGTATATTTACCAAAAATTGTTGCAAATTATTATATAATAAAAATTTTAGTTAGAGAAAATAAATAAATTTTAAAATTATTTTTTCTACCTCAGAAAAATTTTGACATCACTTTTATTTACAATTCAATATCAAAACAAAATGTGTCATCAATTAATTTTTGGGGTAAAATTGAATTCTATTTATCCATTATATGGGCTCAAGTTAATATAATTGTGAATATTACATTTTAAAATTAAAATTGCTTAAAATATTTTATATAGAAATGACAATTCAACTAATTTCTTATTAAATATCTAAGGCATCATATATCTTGTGATCCTTACTTAAGGAAAATAATAAACACTCCAAATAAATTTTGGCCAGATCAAACAAATACTAACTCTTTAGTTTGAAACAGGAAAATCATTTTTAAAAAAATTTGGCAAGGTTAAACTTGGTCAACAAAATATAAAAGAATATCAAATATAAATTTAATAGTTTATACTAATAAGATGTCCTCCTTCAATAACATAATTGAGATTTTCAGTTTGATTGCATTTGTCAATCCTAGCAAGTGTATTTGATTTAATATTAGTTTTAAAATCTAATGCTTTAAATAGATTAGTTTCATTATTATCTTTAAGAATAATCCTTCTTTTTGCATTTTTAAAATTAGTTTGTGTAATTTTTTGTTCATTCTTAGAATATGAATCGACTTTTCCGAATGAATCAATAACTTTATCCAAAGTAAGGGATTCTGAATTGTCAGAAAATTTTTTGCGAACTTCATTTGTATAACATTTATATGGATGACTTTTTATTTTGTTTAATTTTTTAGGGTTGATCTTGTTATTTGTAACCCTTTGAGCTTTATTATTTTTCAGTAATTTATCACTATTCAATGTAACAGTATTATAATGGAATGCATTCATTGTAGTACCTGTACCTAAAGTATCAAGATTATATGCCTGAAAAGGAGGAGTTATTTTGTTATCCAAATTAACGTTTGATATAATTAATTTATCATATTGATTTCCTATATCAATAAATGGAGGTGTGTTAATAGGGATTTCTGGTTCGTTAGTTAAATATAAAGAAGTTTGTGGAGTACAAATCTTTTCTAACATATTTTTCTGATCAATTTTGGATAATTTACATTTCCTATGGGATATTTGATGTTTAACTTTCACCTTTTTTGGAGCTTTTAATTTGTTAGTCATGATATTTTTATTATTATTTGTTTTATTTTCCTTATCAGATGCATCACTTGTTTTTAGGGGTGATAACATTTCTGTTTTAGGTGATAAATTTATGTTTAATTTTTCATTAAGTATAAAACTACTGTCTTTGTTATTATTAGTGATATATAAACTATTATTTGCAATCTTGAGAAAATTGGGTGGTAAAATTCCTATTTCATATAAATGGTTTAACTTTGACTGATTCGTTATCAAATCAGTATCAACTAAATATAATCGATGCAATAATTTAATGGCATCCCAATTTAGAAATGTATCTAATTCATAACTTTTAAGTAAACAATTCTTTGCCTTTATATAATTGCATTGCTTTATATAAAAAGATCCCAAAAAATTTAAAATTTGACTTATATTGAAGTCAAAAATAAAATCAATGATATCATTGGGAAATAATTTACTTCTATAAATTGATGATTCAACAATTAAATTTTCAATATCTTCAATTTTATAATTTTTGCATTGCTTAATTTCCTTTTTATTGCTAAATAGGATAGATTCAATTTTATCATAATACTGTAATTCATATGCAATTCTAGCCTTTAAAAATTTATTAGGCAAAAAGCTTGACACATATTTATGATTATATTCAAATAGATTATAAGCCAATTTATAATAATTTTTCCTATAGTAAGATGTGCATAATAAAAACAAATTTTTCTCATTCGGATTTTCTGCAAATAGATGCTCGGTTATGACAATAGCTTTATCATATTCATAATTATTTAGCGACTGAAATATATGAAATACGAAGAAATTTTCTTCAGCAATCATTAAATATTTTGAGATTGAAATTGAAATTAAATGGCTTAAATACGAAATATTTATACCGAAGGCTTTTTAAAAATGATAGGTCAGGTGAAATGATCTATTGGATGTAAATTTTGAAATCTGGATTTGTATTATATTTTATATATAATGAAATATAATATCAAATAAAATGCTTTTTTTAATAATCAGAGTTATTAAAAATGCTTTTTAAATGGATCTAGATACAGATACCGATACCTCATTTAAAAACATATCTAGACAAACAAAAACTCTTCTTATGAGAGCTCAAAATATGCAAACAATATTATTATATTTTGTTCTCATTCAATTCGAACACCATATAAAAAATAATAATTATCATAGTCCTTTTTTTATAATTTTTTCGAACAAATTCTTATTTAAATGAACATTTATAAAATAAAATTAAAATAAAATATATACTTTTTTTAATGCTTTTTCCCCAAAAATGTATAAATTATGATAAATAATTTTAGAAAAAAATATCAATTTTTACATTCTTTCATTCAAATTATTGTTTAAGATATATGCATACATTTTTGGGGGTCAGGGAGTGGGGGGAGGACTAAGGGGGATATATTTTATTAGCTTAAAATGATATTCACAAAAAGTGATAAATTTCTGAAGGGGGGAAATTTATACAGGTATAACAAAATGTATCTTAAAAAATATCTAAAAGCAGATATAGATACCTCTAAAATTGTACATAGATAAGATGCAGATACTTTTTATAAAGGTGCATCTAGATACAGATACCATATTTTTATATCTATACTTTAACAACTCTAATTATAATGTAACAAATATGATGCCCTGATATCTATACAAATTAAAATATATAAAAATATGAGTTTAAACTATATATCTTTCATTTCTTCTTTTCTCTAGGTTATATTTATCTTTAAAAAAATTTTATCCGACTATGATAATTTTATCGATATTTTGATACATGGATCTATTTCGTTTGTTAAAAAGCCCGATTCGATTTTAAAAAACGGTCCTATTAGGGTTAAAACCAAACATATGTTAGCCTAAAGATTTTTCTCATAGCTGGAAGAAATGCTTGGACATCTATTTGCCAATCCTAGATGTTCATTTTATTATTTTAGCTAAAATCTTAATCGGGTTGTTTTGAAAAATCGATCCAAATCGGGCTTTTTAATAATACTACATTTCGTTATCGTTACCGTTAGCCCATTAATATTTATGAATATATAGGTAATCATACAATTAAGTAATTACTAAGAATTTCAAGGAATATCTTTATCCATATATTTATGAAACCCATTATATTTAATTAATTTGAATCTTTGGCAGATTTATATTTCCGCCTAATCACATGTCTAAGTTCTAAGACCAATTTATTTTTGAACAGAATACATATCTTAAAAAATTTTAAAAAAAATTTATTCAAAAAAATTTACTCATTTACAACATTATTCATTAGAAGGGACTATATGATACTTTCTCAGGAAAATATAAATTGGTTTATTTTAATCATACTAGTTTTTGATTTTATTTAAATAAAAGTGGAATTTTTGAATCGAGCGACTACCTACATATAATGTCCATATTAGAGATAGTGAGAGTAGCAATTTGCCCAGTGACGTAGCCAGGATTTTCTCATAAGGGTTGTGGTTTAAATATTTTTTGTTGAGGGCTTCGCTCCCCTAACCTCCCTTTTTATGATAACTCAATTGCCTATCATTTAAATTTTATTTATTATATAAAAATACTTTAGCATAAATAACATTCCTTTTTTAATTCGTGTATTTATTAAAATTTAATTCTATAAAAACTCTATTCAAAAAAATATAATTTAACAATTACATAAATATAAGTAATTCTTATGCAAATAATGGTATTTTAAAAATATGACGATATTATCAAAAAATAAATAATAAACAGTACCTTGATTAAAAATATATATTATAATTTTCCGATGTCCTCACTATGTCATTGTGATGTCATGTCATCGCTACGTCATGTCATCGCTACTTATTTATTTATTTTTATTAATTAATTTATTTTTTATAAAAGTAAGATTCAAGAAATATTTTTTAAATAATGATGGGACTTTTTTCGTCTGCGGGAAAATGGCTGATGTTAAATCGCACCTCCAAGAAATAATGATATCTATCAATTCTACAAATACTTCTATCACTCACAATTTCATTTTCAAGCACACTATATTCCTTAAATATCTACTTTGCGACTACATACATTTTTTATGACATGAAAAGCCTGACTTCTACTCTTCTGAATCAAAACTCTAGTAAATTCTTTCAAATGCATGGAAGATGTTTGGGAGAGTAATGAGACTCTTTTTTAATTGCTGAGGATTATACATAACCCATAATATATCTCTGCCAAGTTATTACTTTTATTCATTAATTTTTTTATTTTTTCTAGATTCAAAGAAATAAATTCTCTTCTTTATTTACTAATTTATCTCAATCAATTCATCATAACTTAATTCTTTCTTATCTTCTCCAATTCTTTACCTAAGCTACTATAAAGTTTAGCAAGTACCATTATAAATCAATTATTTATTTCCTTTAACAATTTATTTTTTCTATATATTAATCTTATTAACTTAATTTAAACAAAATAATATAAATCAACATTTAATATAATTACAACTTCTTTCTTAAACAAAATTTAACTTTAATCCTCTCTTAAAACTCAATTTCATGGATATTTTCTTATTCATCATTTCTCTTGTCTGCTTTTTGCTTTTTCAATTTTCCAAGTATCGTCTGCTTGTTTTTTCCCCATTTTTTTCTATTTCAAAATTCAAATTTATCTTACAATTTACTTTAAAATTTATATTATGTCAATTTTCAAAAATCTAACAATCTACTCCTACAACATTCCTGGCCTACTTTCAAAAACAACTATACTTAGGAAACTCCTTGATCAATATGATATTAACATTATTTTAACACAAGAATCTCTTATTACCAATAATATATAAAAAAAACAAAAAAAATAAATAAATAAATTACAAATTACAAAAACTAATTCTTCTTTCTCTTTACTCCTTAATCACCCCCCCTCCCCTTTTTTCTAATACATATTCCTATCTTATCTTTTATAATAAATAAACATTATTTACAATGTGGATCCTGGCTTATCCACGAGTGGTACCCATCATCCCACTCAAATTAAACGGGACCATGACAGTAGGGTAAATTACTGTCAACTTTGTGGATCCTGGCTTATCCACAAGTGGTACCTGTCATCCCACTCAAATTAAACAGGGCCCAGACAGTAGGGTAAATTTTCTGCCAAACAGTGAATGCAAATTCACTGCTCTGGAGACACCCTCTATGAGGTGGTGGAGTGCCCACTTAATTGTGGGATGTCTCCTTAGTGTATAATATGATATGGTAAGATTCAAATAAAAAGCAACTATTATATCCTGGTAAATAATATTTATAATTTATAAAAAATTTTATTTATTTACTTTTTTTATAGGTGAAATATTTTGAGAAGAAAATCCAAGAAAGCAAGACTCAAATAAAAAGCAACTATAATCCTGGTAAATAATATTTTTAATTTATGATATCAAAAATTAAATATCATTCAATTATTAATTCAACCCATATTCATTTTGAGATTTTTTATTTATAAAAATGAGTTTTTACAAATCAAACAATCATACACCATTATTTTCCAAAAAATGAGTTTTTACAAGGGCTAATATCATAAAATAAATATTCAATTCTTTCAAGTAAATTAAATTATAAATGCTTATATTTTTTTTACATTTAGAATACATCAATTTTAGCTTCTGATGATATTCCCACTCTTTCTAGAGAGTTGAACCTATTATTGATTCCTCTTCAGGTTTAATACATTAATATTTTTAAAATTATTCTTATATTTTTATTTTAGATAACAAACCCTGTCTTAACCTCTCTTAATGATTGTACAGATGCTAATTAAGCAACTATTATGCTGGTAAATTATTATTTTTTATTTATTAAAATGAGTTTTTACAAGGGTTGATATCAAAAAATAAATATCATTCAATTATTAATTCAGCCCATATTTATTTTGAGAAGAAAAGCAAAGTAAGGGTAAATAATATTTTTAATTTATAAAAATGAGTTTTTACAAATCAAACAATCATCATACACCGTTAGTTTACAAAAAGTATAACATCAATAATTTAAACTTTCCCATTCCAGCTACACACATTTAAAATTAATATTTATGAAAATAGTTTCAAAACACAAAAGATTAACCCTCCCTTTTTTTAAACAAAAATACGGTATAAAACAAGGATGTGCCACCTCCCATTTTCAATCTACTAATTAGTGACATCACAAATACCAGTACAAAATTTAGACTGGCTATGCTACGCCGACAACATATATATCATTATTGAAGATGTCAACTAACATTAATTATTTTAACAATAGTCTTAAATAATATGTGAAAAATCAGCCTGATAAAAAATTTAAAAAAACTATTCTATTTTCCTTCCCTTTTAATTTCTTTTCTTATCTTCACCAACTTTTTAATTTCCTATTTCTTTCTCTTTAGCTTCCTTTCCCTTTTAATTTCCCTATTTTCTTTCCATTTACAATACTTTTTGCCAGGCCGCACAATATGTCTTTTTATCTCTGATGAATATTTTGTCTAACTAACAGAAAAATATCCAAAGTACATTATTTTTAGTATTTAACTAAATTAATATATCAATTTTTAAGGATCCTACATTTTTAAAAGCTTGCCTTTTGTCAGATCCACAATTGCTCTATTCTCCATGCTGATTATTTTGTATAACTCACCAAAAAATAAGTACATTATTTTTATTATAAATAATTTTATATAGAATTTTATATCTATCCATAAAATCGATATTTTTTTTATTCAATTAAAATTATAACAATACTCCTTGGACTCTCCGAATGGTATTTTATTTTAATCCTACCTTGTAAAATTAACTTGAGAATTGTTTTGTTTTTACTTTAGTTAACTATCCCCATCTTATTTATAATTGTTCAAATATTGATATATCAGTCATTAATAATAAACAAATGCAAAATAAACCTTTAGAAGAACATGATAGGCTTGATAAGTCCCCAAAAAAATTTTTTTGTTTATAGCCCCCCCAACTACTAGATATATACTTCTAATATTGACTCCTCTACAGGTTTACAGTATATTAATGTTTGTTTAATTTCAACAATAGTTTATTTATATTTGTGGTTGATTTCTTTATTTGTTTAGGTTAACCCAATCTTAATCCCTCATATTGTTATTACAAAACATGATGAATCTATTATTAAAGATAAGCAAAGAAAAAATGCCTATTCAACAAAAGCCTTACCCGTTCTAGAGTTACTGGTGGCCAAGATAATAAGGAACTTTGAACTCCTCTGGAGGTTTATTTTGTTTTTTATCTAATATTTTATATCTATATGTTTATTTTATATTCACCCAGTTGCCTCCAAATGATATTTCTATCACCACTACCACAATCCCTATGCCACCTCTGCCTAATTTTTAACAAATATAAGCATTTAATTCCACTATTATTCACCTCACTTAATATAAATAATACTTTATCCGATTCTCTGAGGAACTTTCATGAATATTTAGAGGGATGTTCAAACGTGAATGTGTAGTGCGGCCAATTTCATTAACATTATTAATGGGAAAATATGCGGTAGTTTTGTCATGGCCTTTATAACAATACTTACGACCGTTTTATGGTTGAGTTGACAATGTCGTTCATTATTCTATTTTAGAGGAGGATACCAAAACTGACACTTTGGCAGAAATATCATTTTGCGTTCTTCTTTTACCAGTAGCCCAAGGCCTCAGCTTTATCAGGACGCAATGGATGTTGTACACTGCTTTGGTAATCCGTCATTATTCCCTAAATGTTGTGATATTATACATTAATTATTTCCTCTGCAGACGACTGTCCAGATTTATTTTGTCGCTTTTTCCATTAAAATTTAAATGTCATAAAGGATTTGCTCTTAATTTTATCAGACACACAAAATAATAATTAATCCTCATCATTTTTAAAAAAAATTACCTAAATTTATATGGCAAGAAAAACAAATTTCTTAAAAAATATATAAATAAATTGCATTTAAGTTTCATTAGTATTGAATGGCATTTTTGTAATTTAAATAGATAGCATTTTTTTGTACTTAACATAAAGATATAGATAACCCTTATCAAATTTTTTGATAAAAGGAGTCAGTGGCGTAGCTAGAAATTTTTCTTAGAGGGGGTCCATACATATAAAAGCCTAATATATAATAAATACATTTTTTAAATGTATCAATAATATGTTATTATAATTTAGTAGATTATTCTCAATGACTTTATAATAAAACTATCCAGAATAATTTCAATAGTAATATAATATCCTTTCACAAACATCAAAACTAGAAAAATATAAATATTAATGGCATTTATTTAATATAAAGTCACTTTTAAGTCTTTTGAACGTATAATCTAGAAAAAAGATTTAGCTCTGGGAGGGGTCCAAACCCGAAAACCACCCCCGTAGCTACACTACTGAAAGGAGTTAACCAACTAATTGGTAAATCCGAGATTTCCCCTTCATGTGATGATAAATTATTTAGAAATTTAACTATCTCCGGGTTTGGGAAAAAGTTTTGAAAATTAATATGGGTTGGACTGGGCTTGAAAAATATTCCTCAAGATTAATATTTGCTTGCACCTGACTTGGGAATATCTTTTACAAATTATTATGGGCCGGGCTAGGAAAAAATTTTCAAAGTTATTATGGGTTGAGCTAGGCTTGAGAAATTTTTTTAAAAATTATAAGGTCTTGGACGCTTGGAAATTTTTTCCAAATATTATGAGCTTGGACCTGGCCTGGAATTTTTTAATGTTAAATGTTAGTCTTATGTAATCAGTAATAATTTACAAAGAATTTTGATATTGGGTAAAAGCTCATTTAAATATATTTTGACTCAAAAATTAGTTTCTACTTTTAGTCCTAATGGGTTGGACTCAATGAAATTGGTTGGACCTAAATGGGGAGGGGGGGGGGTTAAAATTAATATAAATTGGATATGATTTTTAAAAAGGTTACATCTTTCTTAAAAAAAAGAATAAGATTCTCATTCTCCGTCATTTTTGACGGGCTCTCTACTAGTAGTATTAATTGCATAAATGTTAAAAGTTAATACAAAAATTATTAAATGTTAAAACTAAGAATTCATTTTAACCCTTCAATACTCCGGTGAAAAAAATGATGTTAGTACTCTGGTGGGGTTTAATAGACCCCAATTTCAAATGTATATATCTCCTTTTGTATTTAATATTTTGGTTTAATATTTGGATATAAGATAGAACAAACCTTAAACTTGATAAAATATTTATATATTTAAATTTATTATGCTTAGATTTAAAATAATGAGGATAATTATAATTTGTGCCAAAATTTTCTAAAAAACATTTAATTTTATTAAATTGAAAAAATTATTTATCTATCATATCATCATTATAATTCATTATTTTGATATTTATTCTTCATAATAAAAATATAATTGAAATATGTTAATTTTGACATATCACATAAAGTATTTATATGCTCAAACATAATTTTTTTCCCCATATTTGACAAAAATATTTCGTTTTCTCATCTTTATTGCTAGGATACATACTGCACCTTCCTCTTGAGTGGATAAGATTTATATTTTGAACTTTGCCTAATATATTGCATATAGATTCCTTCAAAAGTCAGGACAACCTGATAATATTTGTTGTACTTCTAAATATGGCTTATAAGTTCAAATGATATAATACATATGAAATTACTTCATGTAGTGGATACAGGCGCGTACGCAGGAATCTGATCTGGGGAGGGGGGGGGGGGGGTAATAAAAATTTTTAAGAAATATTATTGTTTTTTAAAAATATCAAGCATAAATTCATAAGACTAATAACTATTTCTAATACACAATTTTAAATTAATATGAATTATAAAAATAATGTAAAGAATCACTTAAATGACCCAAAATAGAAATTTGAATTTTTTGAGCCTTTAAAATTTATATATAAAGTATAAAAAATTTAAATGTTAGATAATATAAATTAATACACATCTTAGGAATAATTGTATTTTGTATGTTTTATATGTACAATGTAAAAAAAATCTTCATTGGTATTGAGCTAATTTTCAAATATCTCATCCTTGCTTGTCGTCAAATGCCTATGAATATTCAAAAGATCCAAACATTTCAATCTACTTACAGAAGTTATACTTCTTGGTATGTTTTTCAGAGACCTCCAGGCCCGCCTGGGCAGAACCGTATTTTAATTTATTTAAATATATCGGGGCACGCCCGTTTTTTAAAAAAACACCTAGACCTACCCTAAATAAAAAAACACCGAGGCCTGGCCTAAATTTTTTTTAGAAAAAACACCCAGGCCGGGCCTGAATTTTTTTTAAAAAACACCCAGATATTTTAAAACAGCCTATATTTGAAATTGTTATTATTAGCTATAAAAATCAAAAATAAATATAATTTATTTTTAAAAAAGCCGGACCGGGCCTGAAATTTTTTTTAAAAAAATCCGGGCCGTGCCCTGCAAATGATATTTCTGGAGGGCTCTGTTATTCTTCTTAAAAAAGAGAATGTTCTCTCATTAGTTTACTAATGGGAAGAGTTGCTAATATATATAATTTTAATACATTGAGAATATAATCTAAAATGTTAAAAAAAAATTTGGAACTATATCAACCATAGTTAATTTTATAAACATAGTTATTCAGCTAATAAGGCATCAAAAGATATTGATACTTTAACATCTTCATGATAAAAACCCAACAAATATTTTTTTTTCTATCACCATCTGAAAAAAGTTGAGTAGGTTTTCATGGAAATAATATTTGCAGATTGGTAAGTGCTGCATGTTACATTAAAAACCATTCATTTTAGGTTATAAATGTAATCTATGATATACTCTTCTACTGATCTTATATTAATGTTTTTAACTATGAGCTTGCCTTGCTGCAAGTCGAGGGAGATTAATATTTAACACGTATAGCTCTTTTTGACTTAACAATAACATATAAAATATGAAATTCTTCATCAACATTAGCCCTAATTTCCTTGAATTCTAATAAAATGCTCTCCGCTATTCTCATCTTCTTAATCAGGTCAATGTCATGTCTTAGAAAATATACATAAAATAGTTGATAATTAAATAATACATTCTAATGAGAAAAAAAATTTTAAGCATTGAATCCAATAATTTTTTTGCTTCTGAGGAAATATTTCTCTCAGGCTATTGTGATATTTCAGTAATAGCAAATAATTGGCTCTTCTAACTCCGGAGACTCTATCTCGTTGGACAAGGTTGCAATTTCTTTCTCCCTGTTGTACAATTTCAGAATAATTATTATTTGACTAGAAATTTGAAAATGGTAGATAAATATTACGCCACTAAAAATTTGGAAATAATAAGTAAATATTTGGCCGGAAAACTTGAAATCGAAATTAATTGATAAAATAACTTAGTTGATGAATGTGTTATAAATGTAATTAAATATATATTTAATATAAGATAGGAATAAATATGAATAAATATAAATTAAAATAAACAATAATATTTTTGAAAAATATATCCGGCATCTGCATTTTTTGGCTTTGGGTAGGTGGGGAGGGGGATTTATCCCCCTGCCCCCCCCTCTCTCCGTAGCATACTCGCCTGAATGAATATTTATGTGTTTGCTATATAATGTGAATTAATTGATATTATGTTTAGAAGTGTGTAAGACTTGCTTAAAATTGTATCATTTGTTGTCATTCAATACACTATATCTAACCTACCTTTAGTCATATTATAAAATGTTATAATTTCAGGCTTGCTTGTATCATTTGTATCAACATTTTTATTATGGTGGAAAGTTGAGAGCATTATGACATCTTTTTCTTTCCTTGGATATGGTAATAATGTTATTTTTTCATATCCAACTCAAATATATGAAAAATGATATTACATTTTAAATAATTTTATTATATTTACTTTCAGAATATGTGAAAATGATAAAAATAATTTGAAAAATGAGATAATTATAAAAAAAAATTTTAAAAAAATTACTTATTTACTTTGGTGGGGTCTTACAAACCCCAGTCACAAAATATTTATATCATAAAAACTATTCAGCCAAAATATATAAAATTTGGAATATAGATTCTAAGATATATTTAATGAAGCTACTGAAGATTTCAGATCATAATAATAAACCATTTTTAACAAATATCAATTCTAGCAAACCTGGGGTCTCATATACCCCACCGGAGTATTGAAGGGTTAAGAAAAAAATTTGATTATAAATATTATATATTAAAACTAATATATTCATATTGAAATTTTTTGATTTGAATTTATAAAAAGAGGTCTATTTTTCTCTGAGATTTTTCTAATTCATCTAGAATCAAATTATATCTAGAATAATCTTATAAATATTTAGGGCTAATCCATCTAAATGTTTTTCACCAGTGATATTTTTAAAATAGGTTTTTTAACCTTTTTAAAGTTGAAAAAGACTTTTCATTAGTAATTGTTAAGGTAGCTAAAATAATTAATAATATTTTGATATTAGCCATGGAATCTAAAGTGCAATTACACTTAGAAAGGGCCTGCAGAACCTTTTTTGGTCTCAAAGAACACTCCATTCTGTCAAGATTTTTTATACCAAAATTCGACATCCCAAAGTAACTTATCATATGAGCCTACTAAATCATCACTCTCCGATTGTCTTAATATCCTCTTATTTTTCAACTGTAATCAACAGTTTAGACTCAACCGGTAACAGAAAATAAAAGCTTTTAAAATAAAATTAAATAAAAATGTTTATTTTATAAAAATCCTCAATCGTAGATGCATCAATATTTGAGCGATTGGATTGTCTAGAACCTGTTCTAGGTTTAAAAATTTCAATCCCAAACATATTAGCAATCTCCTTTACTATTCATATATTTCATGAAATTTTTCATCCACATTCTCTCTGATATTCGTTAATATTTCAACTAGGGATGTACTGATATTTTTATCAGATCGGGCCGATATTTTATCCAATTTAAAATATCGGTTATCGGCCAAAATAAAATTTCCCGATCCGATATAAAATGGCGTCTTTAACAAAAATAAAATGTTATAAAATTTTTAAAAAGAGTTATATTTAAAATGATTTATTTTTATAAATAAAATGGAAATCCATTTTTAAGTATATTTTTTAAATAATAATTAATTAATAAACATTTTGCCATATTGTTATTATTTTGAGATTTCTGTTTATAAAAGGGTTCGATAATCTCTTCAGAATCAGTTTTTAGTGAAGCACCGCAGGCTGACCTCTGATAAATTGGAAATTTTGGTATTTCTAAAAAGAAATTTTCGTTAATGTTAAATATTATTTTAAATATTTATTTCAAATTTCATATACATTTGTTTATTACTTGTTATGTATATAGATTAATGTTTTACTTATTATATAAAAGTGATTTAACAATAAATATTTTATTGAATTGAATATAAACGATAACTGATCATTATATTATATTTAAATGACATAAGTTATGGTATAGTTAAATTAGACTTTATACTAATAAAAAGTATATTAAAAATACAACCATTGGTATCTTTACAGAATACAAAATTAAATATGATATCGGGTCGGTAATCGGCCGATATCAATTTAATATTGGGAATGTCAGATCGGATCGGCCTCCAAAAAGTGGTATCGGTACTCCTAATTTCAACAATATCCGATGCTCTATTCATAACCTCCCTTAAATCCAAATCAATTTTTTGTAGCATTTTGCTAACATCATATGTATAATTAAATAAAAAATAAACACATTGAATTGATATTAAAAATTGTAGTTTATGAATCTTTTTTTTCGCTTGATATATAAAATTCTAGTGCTGCAAATATAGTTCAATAAGGAGTTTTATTGACTCTTGTCTTTCAATGAATCTAGTCGGACAAAATCTTTTGTATCTTTTTTTTATTCCTCATGATACGTTTGAATAGACAACTCCCTCTTCTAGGGATTGTTTTTTCATAGTGACTTTAAACAATAGAATGACAAACTAGGCAAGTTTAATGGAATGCAAAATAATTTTAAAAAAATAATCAAACACTGTATATCAATTATTATTTATAATAATTAAAAACATAGAAATAGTTGTTTCTTAAATTATATTATCAATTTAGTAAATTAAATAAAAATTTTAAATTAAAAAAAAAATTAATTAAGAAATTGTTTTCCCATTTTTCATAGGGGGGGAAGGTTAACCCCCCCCCCCCCTTTATCCCCCATGCCTACTCCACTGAATTTGCATCCTATTTTTTGAAGAGGTAAGGAAGTAGCCATTTAAAGAGGGAGGAATACAGTAAAAATTAACACAATTTGTGGAATAAAGATAAAAATACCTAATAAAATAAATTTATTAATTAATATTAATTTCATTCATTCACAGATGACATTTTGAACAGTTTGTAGTTATACATCAATTTTAATTCCAAAAATGACAACGTGAAATTGCTGTAATTTTGAAAACAAATCATCAATAGTTTAAAAGAAAACGTATTCCCATTATCAGTCCGATGTACGTATGATGCGTCTTTTCATGCTAGTTATCAAGCCAAGAAGAACATCTTTTAAATATATAAGAATAATACAGGATATGTATATGGGCGATACAACAATGGTCTATAGCACAACAGGTACTTCAGCAGGCTTCACAATAGCCGAAGGAGTTCATCAAGAGTCGGCTCTAGCCCACTTCTCTTCATTACAGTAATAGATATATTAGCACAGTCTATACCTCAAACAGTCCCGTGGAATATGATATTTGCAGATGATATTGTGATACTTGCCGAATCCAAGGATGAAATGGAATAAATATTAGTGAGTTATAAATATCCTAGAAAAGCACGGACTAAAAGTAAATAGAGAAAAGACGGAGTATATGGTGATAGGAGAAACAGAGTATTGATATAAATGAATGGCAGGCAAATATCGGCAATTGAAAGCTGCAAATATTTGGGCTCCACTATACAAACAAACGGCACAATAGAAAAAGATATAAAGAGTAAAATTAATCAAGGGTGGTTAAAGTGGAGATCTTTATCTGGAGTGCTATTTGACAAAAGAATCCCACACAAATTAAAGGGAAAAATTTACAGTTCCATAGTACAACCAACTATTCTATATAGTTCGGAAACATGGCCAACCAAAGAATCAGACGAGATAAGTCTACAAACTATGGAGATGAGAATTCTGAGGATGATTGCTGGGGTAACATGAAAGGATAAAGTGCGCAATACAAGAATACTAAGTAGTTTAAAGGTAGTGCCCATTAAGACTAAGTTAATGGTAAACAGACTTAAGTGGTATGGGCACACAATGAGAAGGCCTATAACTACCTTGGAAATAAGGTTGAGAGTTTGGAAGTGATGGGCAAACGTAAAAGAGGAAGGCCAAAACTTCAATGGGGCCATAAAGTTAGAGCCAATATAAAGAAGTATAAAAGAGATTGTATGAATAACATAAAGTGGAGAGAGATGTTGAAGGAGCTTACCACCAGAAAAGGTGAAAGCTAAAGAGAGAAAAAAAATACTTATTATAAATAATCAATTATCATTTTATAAGAAATAATTAATAATTGTAATTTATTATAGTAAACATTTATTTTATTAGGCTACATACTCTCAACTTGCATTTTTTCCCAAAAATTATTTACAAAATATTATAAATAAATACAAATGTCATTTTTCTCGGAATAATGTTTTCACAATAAAATTTGTTGGCAATATATACAAACATTTTATAATACTAATATTATAGTATAGAAAAAGCATAAATATACAATGTAAATAAATATTTTTTTTTCGAATTGTCAAGAGAGTTCTAAGGACTTCACATCAATTTGTCCATCTTTTAAAGTTCGTGTCGCATCGTTAATACATTCTTGTTCAACTAATTTTGAGTAGTCGGGATGAATACAAGTGCCAAAATATAAGATCAGAAATTTAAGATAACCATTCAAAAAATTTTTCTCTATTTCAACGACGCCTTTTGGTTTTAAAAGTGAGGCAATCTATAAAAATTAATTTAAAATTTATGTATTAAAAACATTTGCTTAAAAAATTATTTTTGGGAATGCTCATGCAAGATTTTTAATAAAATTTTACCTAAAATTTCAAAAAAAAACTTTATAAAATCTTTTATTAGTAAATAGTTTGTGATTTTCATGCATAAAAAATCTTTCATGATGAAATCGCAAATTTTTTTTATTTTCTTTAAAAAAAAATTCATTGGTGTAATGTAATTAACGATTGGCAAAAATCATGTTTTTTTACAAATGTCATGCTCATGGGTGAAAATATCAATTGAGGTATAGTTATTATTTAAACACATTTGATTATTTGTGGAAAATTTATGTTAATCAATTGTTAAATAGAAATATTGATTAGATTAGAAAGTATATATCATATCAATATTTGTTTGATTATTTTATTTATTTATATATATTTGAATTAATATATAAATTTGCATCTGAATTAATGTTCGTATCAACAAAATAATGAATGAAGTTTATTACGATGGGCATAGATTTTTTTAAATTTCCTTAAATTTAAACAATAATAAATTGATTTTCATACTAAAAAAATAGAGATGCATCGATAATTTAAATTTTAACCAGTACCGATAACGAATTCAAAAATGGAGTTTTAAAAAAAAAATTTATCTTATGCAAGAATATTAAATATTTATTTTAAAAATTTTCTACAAATTATATTTGGCATTTTTAGGTAAAATCTGATCAAAAATCTTTATTCTTAAAAAAAATTGATGTCGGTATTGATGGCATAGACTGATACCGTCTAAGTATAAGTTTTAGCAAAAAAGTGACAACGTACCTCTAATTTGATTTAGCATGCGATAAAAAAACATTTATATTAAAAAAAAATAGTACTTAAATAGAATTAATAAGCAAAATATAATAAGGATCAGGTTTAATTAAATGTCTTTAATTGAAAAAAAACTAATAATTGTTTATAAACAAACAAAAAGAGAGAATTGATTTAAATGATATATAATTATTTTGTTAATCATGATTTTACTTCTTTTATTAAGCAAAGTAATATTCTTAATAGTTCTCACATTTTCCCCCAAGTTCATTTTGAAAAAATTGATTTATTATTTTATGATATATAATTAAGATTATGAAATTTTTTTTAAAAGGGTATAACTCTAAAAAATAATTCAGCAAAATTTTTGATTTTCACAAATTGCTTATGACTAATTTCAATAAATAATGTCGAAAAAAAACCCAATTTGATGGTCATTATATAATGTGTTACTAATTAAAATATATTTGATTTATTATCATCAGTCTAATATCAAATAATAAATAAAATTGATGTCTACATTTAGACCTAGAGCAATTGATAGTATAATGCTTTCTCTAAATAATTTATAAAATCCTTAGCAACAGGCATAAGATTGTGTATACTTATTGCTAACTCTTCGCTTTTGAACTTTGACTTATGTAATCAAATGTTGGAATTTGTCTAAATTTTAACCATCTTTTACACAATGATCAAATTGACAACTATAAATGGTATTAAAAAACTACTTTTTAATACCATGATTTCATTTTTTAACAAGGTTGCTAATTTTCTAGATTTTTGGGTAAAAAATTTTTATCATATAGATGAAATAAAAAACAAATTATAGTCCAAATATATATATATTACAAAGTTGTTAACGTTTTAAAATGGAGATTTAGAAAACCCCATGAGCCAATTTTTAAGAAGAATTTTAAGACATCAAATAAAAGGGTCTCATGATTTAAATCATGCTAGCCCTATTAATTAAATACTAATTTTGAGGAACATTAACTTTAACTAATTACATTTGTGAAAAAATTTAATTAATTTTTTTTATAATTTTAAATAATACGGGTATTAATTTTTTAGATTGTAGTTTAAAATAAATATTGTTTGTAATTATTTCCCGACAATCATATAGGAAATTAAAATTTTTATGTTAATAATATTGTTTTAAATTTTATAAGCACTCTTAAAATTTATTTTGAGCAATTAAAAAAAAAATTCTATTTTAGATTTGTTTAACAACATTTTGTATTATTTTTAAATAGGGTTTTGTCGAAATTAAATATCTGATCAGCACCGATATTTAGGGTTTCGGGCCAATATTTTTTAAAAAAACGATCAGATATTTTTTTATTGTTTTTGGTTATTTTATGATTGTACTTTTCTTTTATTTTATAATTTCATAAAAATAAATTTAAGAAAGGAACTAAAACATAATTTATCTGTGGTAATGTTTCAAAAAAGGGGTTTAAAATTTTATAATATTTTTTATTAAAAAAAATTTTAAAATATCACATTCAGCTAGTGTTGCTAAACGGCTCAATTTAACCAACTTTAAAAACGGTAAACTCAAGATTTTGTTACTCAAGCTTATTGATTTGGCCCACAGATAACAGAAAAATTTGGTTCTATTAGTAAAATTTTGAGGCTTAAGTGAACTTTATAAAAATCGGCTAAATGAATTTGTTTAATAACATTACACTCACCCATAAGCACTGCAATTTAAAATAAGATATTTAGCTTTTGGGAAAAAAATACACTTAATCATTAAAGTTAGTTGATCTTTTTATAATAAAAATTTTGATATTTTTCTGACATTGATACAATGGTAAATAAATATCGGATCAATGAAAAATTGTGGATCGGCACAGCCCTATTTGTAAATAAAATTACCCATATAATTTAAATATAATATGGTGAAAATATTCTTAATTATGTTGTAAATAAATTGAAATATAATATTTATAGAATGAAAATTTAATATTTTAGCGAGTAAGCTAAAGAAATCTAAATTAGATTTTTTGGTCTAAGTCTACCCGCGTCTTAGTAGAAATTTTAAGATTAATGTCTCACCCAGCCTGTGACCAGAAATTATAAAAAAGCTTAGAGAAAAGAAGTTTCAAACTTAAAATATTTATTTTATTCTCTATTTTAATGTCATGCATTATATTTCAATATAGACATAAACTTTGATAATTTAATGATTGCATATCTAATTTTATTGTATTACAAAATCAGATACAAAATGAATGGTAATTACCTAGATCCTAATATTTTTATAAATTTATTATTTTTAAATTCCATAATTGTGATTATCAATCTTGCAAAAAAAGGAAGAATAAGAAGATTAATATTTTTGGTATGCTGGGCCTTATTTTATTGATGAGGTTATCATCAGCTCCTCGACCTTGCAGGACTATAGTGAGTACTGACTGAGATATTTATTATATATTATTTTACTATAAAAATAACTCTGGGTAATTCCATGACAAATCGACCAGTGATTCGGCCGACCATCTCAAAAATGAATTAAACTTGACATTTTAGTTATTTATGTTGTAAATGTTAATAAAATTAAAATTTTAGAATGCTAGTTACAAATTATATATCATTTTATAGCCCTTAAAATTTTACATTGGAAAATATCGAAAATAAATTAAAAAATTTAGTGTTTTCTTATTTCCGGTAAAAATATAAAATTAACATTGTTAGAAGAGGTTTTTTGGGGTGTTGATTCTCTAAAAATGTTTAACGACTTTATATTAAACGATTTAATAAAAAATCTTGATAGCCATTTTTGTTTTTTAATTTTATTTAAATTTTTATTATTTATATAAATAAAAAAGGTAATATAGATAGCGTTATATTTATACGATTTCATAATATAATATAAAAATATGTATTATACTGGATTAAAATTAAAAAACCAATTAAATATAACCAATATGATATCCTGCGTCAATAAGTAAGGAAACTGCCCATATGGATATGGTAATTAGGACGAAATATTTTAAAATTTTATATACAGACAAATATAAAAAAAACACTTGTATTAATCATATCCCATTTTGCGCTGAGGCGATAATTTGTAGGTACGTCCTGTCACTGTTATGGGATCTATAATCGTTATTATTTGATTAATGGGCAACCATATCTTTTCCTCAATTGTGGCGTAAAAGAAGGATGGTGATGGTGGGGTGTAAAAAGGATATATATATCTCCTCAGTAATTTCATCTTTTTTAATACTGTGGCTAATCAATAATAATCGCCATAAACACATGTTAATCCTGTAATATCGGCAAAACAAATTATCGGCATTTACTATATTATTAATTTGCTCTGCATATGAATATATTTTTGATTTAAGTTTACTTAAACTCAAAGGAAATACAGCATGTATTTCCCGAGTTCCTGGAATGGCAAGCTAAATTGAATCTTTCAATTAGTTTAATCTCTTCTAAATTGTATTGTTTGTTCGATATATATGTAAAATTTAGTGACGGCATGTTTTGTCTTTGCAAACTGATATAAATCAACTGGTGATAAAATGTGTCAAGAACTGGTGAGCTGAAGGCTTGAACGTGCTGCTAATCTTTTAATGTTCCACCAAGGCCATCACATGGACACCTTTTCCATGAGATGTAGTTGAAAAATGTCATTCAGCTGTTACACCAAAATTGGATTAGTGATAACACAGATTTATATAATTTTTTGTGTTTATATTGCGTAGCTGTTACGTCAGAGCAGTAATATATTTTTTGGCTTTTTGCTGAATTGATTCTTAAAAAAAATAACGAGAGTATATACACAACAAGTGAAAGGATATATATATATATACAAATTATGGCACCAGGAATTTTATTAGTAAGTGCAAAATGGAATAGATATGTTTTTATAATAGTATGAATATAAAATTAAAATGTTTATTCAATATAAGCGAATAATAATCATATCTGTATGGGCTGCTTCCTTACTTATTGACCCAGGATATCGTATTGATTGTACTTTATAGATTTTTTAAATTTTAATACCAATATAATACATATTTTTATTAAAAATATTATATTATAATATTTTTGAATATATCTATATTATCTTTTTTTATTTATATAAATAATAAAAATTAAAAAAACAAAAATGTTATCGAGATTTTTTATTAAATCGTTTTATATAAAGGCAATAACATTTTTAGAGAATATCAACACCTAAAAAAATCCCTTCCTAAAAATGCTTATGTTTTATTTTTACCGGAAATAAGAAAACACTTAGAATTTTTTAATTTATTTTCGATATTTTTCAATGTAAAATTTTAAGGGCTATAAAATGATATATAATTTTTTTTTTAAAAAAACAAGAATTGAAATCACACATTGCGCAATTTTCGACTTTGTAGGCGTATATCTTTGGATCTGGTTTAGCTAGCACTCTAAAATTTTAATTTTATTAACATATACAAAATAAATAACTACCATGCCAAGTTTCATTCATTTTAAAGATGGTCGTCCGAAAATCTCGTTTTTTTGGTCGATTTGACGTGGAATGACCCCTAAGGGGAACGCTTATGTAGGCTATATGCGAAGCTGTAAGCTAAATTGAATAGAAAGGAGATGAGAATACATATGTGGGGTATTTCTGAGACAGAGGGGAAAATCAAAGAATTACGAGGAAGGATAAAAATGGAATAGTAGAGATTAGAGTGATGATGGGGCGAAATAGTCTGAAATGGTTTGGACATGTTTAATGAAAGATGCTTGAATGAAGAGATATATCTTGATGAAAGTAAGGAGATTAAGGTCATAAGAAAATCCAAAAAGACATGTATGACTATGAGTGATCATGGATTACGTCAAATAGTGATGCCCAGGCCGTAAATTATAGAGAAAGGGGAGAGAGTGGAAAATATACCCAGAAAACCTCCATTAAACCTAAAAAAAAATTTAAATAAAAATAAATTTCTAAAATTTAAAATATTACTGGTGGAGGTAGTGATAACTTAAGAGAGTAGAGAATAGACTTTTAAATTTACTGGTAAATAGGTGCTCAATCTTAAAAAAATTATAAATATTTGTTTTAATTTTTTTCTTAAAGGTTTGCTCAAAAAATTTGAGGGGCTCACCAAATTATTGATTAAACTGGAGTTCTCAATAGTCAATCCTTAGCGACAACACTGAGGAAACGTCGTATATATTGGAAAATGAAAAAAAAATTGTAGTTTCATTCATTTTAAAAAATTAGTGAGCAAAGCAGTGAGTGCAATCAATTATCTTTCTACAAAATTTGAGCAATCAATAATATGCTCAAAGAGCCATGCTTCTTTCCTATTGTTCTTTTTTGTCTGATTGAATATCACAACTATAAGATGAATTTAAAAAATACTTAAAAAGTGGAAAATATTTAAATTTTAAAAGTTATTGCTGAATATATAAATTTAATACATAACATTAAAATAGATGGGGAAAAAAATATGTTGAGTTTGAGATTTCTTTCCTATATTTTTTATAGAAATTCGAGTGACAAGTTAGGCAAAGGCTAAAAAATTTCTCACCAAATTGAAGGTAAGCTTGAGTAGAAAATTTTAGATTTTTAATTCAAGCAATCAAAACAATCACAAAATTTCAAATATCGTGTTCTTTTACGGTTAAATAAAATGAAAATCGATGTAAAAATATGCATACTTGACAGATGTTGGAATTACGTGGAAACTTAAACACGACATTAGGAGTTACCCGTAGAGATTGCCTGTAGATGGCGGCTAGATTGAAGTTTAAAACATCCAAATCGAAGGCTAATGATCGCTCGTAATGAACTCCTCCCCAAGGGGGATCGAGAAATATGGCGTCTACACTCTCGCGTATATCAGACCAGTAATCTGTGCTGCTGCGATGGGAAGAGTTACGTTTTCTGTCGTGATTAGGTAAAGAGTTTTGTCGAAATCGATTGATAACTGATTCAAAATCGGCTAGAATAAAATCGGCTTGTTTGTATGTTGTTACGGTAGGGGAAGATTGTGAATTAAGATATATGGAAAGGTTGTGTTGAGCTAAAGCCAGTTTTGATGCCTGGTTATCCACCGCTAAAACTACAATAATCAATGAGTAATATTCATTATATTAAAATAACAATTTCATTAATTTTTAATATAATTCATCTAAATGATTAAAAAGAATTCAACAATAAAATGTGTAACAGAATATTTGTTTATTCGCCATCTAATTATTTTCCCATAATTTTTGGTGATCTGAGAAATCTCACTTCCCAGTTCTTAAGAAATTTCATTGCCCTAATTAACTGCATGTTCTATGGCATTTATTTCCTCACTTTCTCTGATACTTATTATATTATTCATATTATAAATTCTATAAATATAAAGATTTCAAATTTCATATTGTTTTTTCTAAGATCTATAGTGTTCACCTAATTTTAATTTTTTTAAATATAGTTAAGGTGTACCCCTCAAATTCAATTTTTTTAGCTTAAGCCTGAGCCAGTTTGCATAATTTTTTATTTTATATATTTTTATTGTTTTTAAATATTCAAGAAATTTTTTTTTTGGTAAGAGCTCTATATTTTACATTAAAAACGATATATAATCTGAAGCCGTTTCAAAATTATGTTAGAATTTGGCAAATAATATAAACCTTTAGCACCATTTAAAACGAATTGAATTAAATTGCCACCAGAGCCACAAAAAGCGTCCAAAATTACAGTGAAAGGCATTCTTTGTGCTATGTGTTTGGCTATAATCTCAGGAGTGCAAGAATACCAACTTTCTTTGTATAATTTTTTTTTGAAGTAAAAATATAAAATATAATTATCTTTAAAAATTTTGTATTACAGTAAATTTAAGTTAGTCATTTTCTAAAATTTATTTAACCTGACACCTAAATTAGCATATTGATACTATAAATAATTGTGAATATAAAATGTTTTTTTTCACTGTTGTTTAGGAAAAATAAAAAATATCCTTTTAATTAAATTAGATATAACATTTCAATCAATATAATAATTCATTGAAATAGATATCATCTTTAATTTTTTATATATAATATAATTTCTCCTCATTTACCAGAATCCATTTCAATACCTTCATCGAACCGAGAAAATAAGGTATATTTGTAACGGCCATATTTATTTAATATGCTAGAATCATTGTCCTTGTCACTTTTTTTGTGCCGGGAAAGGTTAAAACTTAAATTATCTTCTGCAAAATCTTTGTTGTTAAGCATTTCTTTATAAACTTTGTTTTTATCATATTTAAGGGCCATGATGTGAGGAGGCTGATAAATATCAACTTTATGCTCTTTAGGTTGTTTAAGGCTATTAAAATATTGAAGAGGTAAGCACCTTTTAGCTATATACAAATCGGCCTGACAAAAAGTACTCATATTGTTTCGATCATAATAGTATCCTGCATGCAACAGAAGCTTGGATAATTTGTCCCAATCTTTTAACCCTTTAAAAGTCTCAAACTGATAATAATAAATAAAATAAATTTAAAAGAAAAAATAATAATCATATTTTTTTAAATATTCATAAGGACCCCTAAAATTGGTTGGAGGGACAGGTACAATGTAAACTCATTATATTATTTGAGATGTTAGTTTATTTAAATATTATAAAAGTTATATTAACATTCAAATTAAGCAAAGAATTGACTTTTTGTTTTCAATTACTATAATCAAAAATAATCTAATGAGATGAAAATGTTAAATTAGGATATTATTATAGATTTAATTCTGAAAATAAATATTGTAGTAAATTAATTGAGGAGTTGTAATATTTTTTTAGCACAAACATGTGATTATAAATATAACTAATTAAAAAAGTTTTTCCATTATAATAAATAAGTATTTTATTTTTTTAAGATAATATATAAATTGCACCATTACTAAAAATCTTATATTCAGATTAAATAATATTATTTTTAATGGTAAGGAACTTAGAAGGAAATAATTATTAATAAAATATTTTTACATACTTCTTCATTTTCTTTATGTCCATTTGTAATATTGTCTAAAATTAAATATTTATTCATATCATATAATAAATGGTTACCTGATATCCGTAAATCACAAGATTTAACTAAAAAAATAACTTTATATAGGAAAAATTAAAAATATTGAACTTTCTAAATTAGAAGAATCAGTCAAATCACTTTATTGATACAAAAATTATAAAATTATAAAAAAAAAATTTACTTTAACTTAACTTCTGTTAATATACACAAAACATATAGATTTTTCTCAATATATTCTCCAAGAAATAATTTTAAATATCCATTAAATTGAGTATATTCCATCAATATATGTATGTTTCATTTAAATAAAGAATAACATTTTGAACTAAATGAAAACGAAAAAAAGATAGATGGAATAAACAACTTAAAATTTCTGGTAATTTTTTAAAGTTTTTTAAGAATAATTTTAGTTATGAAATTCTCGTACAAGTTATTTACAATAATAAAGTCTTAACATTTTTATTATAAAGTTAAAAGAGCAATAACATAAGTTTAATTAAAATTTTTCTAAATTTAATATCAATGACTATTATTTTACATAATATTGATTAGTATGACTAAAATTAATGTGATAAATATGATATTCTACTTATAAAGCCTATTAGATAGATTAAAAAATATAGATAAATGTTAATAATATAAAACGATATAATATTATTTATACTTCAAATTTTTATTAATAGTAATAAAAATTAAGATAATGATCTATATTCGTTTATTGTAAATTCTATATAAAAAATGATTCCAAACACAAAATTTTAGCCACTACAATTTTCATTAATATTACCATTGACAATCTATGTAGTGTTTATACTAATTAGTCTTAAATAAGCATACACAAATATGGATGGCTTTATTAACTGAAAATCACCTGATATTTACAACAACTGATATATATATTAATATGATTGATTTGTATGTATGACATTTATAACATTGATAATATATAATATAAATCTCATTTATAACATATCCCCACACATATGATCTTACAATTCCTCAATCAGCCGATTTATAGGTTTCCTGGCTCTTTGTGATTTCAGCGTTTCTAGTTTTCCGTTATCTTCCACATTTTCTAAAATCTCAACTATATCCGACTCTTTATTTTTTATATTTTCTTCTTCTCTCTCTGACTCCATATTTTCTCCATTTTCTTTCCCTGGCCCAGACTTCTCCATTTCTTTAGCTACCTCCCTTTTTCGAAGTTGATTCGCATGCTTTCGTACCATTCTATCCTTGCTTTCTACCAAATAAGAATATCTGCCAGTTCTGGATTTTATAACTCCTTCTCTCCAACCTGAATTTATTTTATTATGCACCCATACCGGTTGTGCATTCTCAAATTCTCTCATATGACTATGTTCATCATGCGCTACTTTTTGTCGTATATTCGATCGTTCCATTTCATAACTAACATTAGGACGTAACCAATTCAATCCCGTTTTTAAATTTCGCCCCAATAATAGCTTAGCTGGTGAACGTCCAGTTGATTGATGCTCACCCATTCTATATGCTAGCAAAACTTCTCCCATGGCTTCCTTGGGCTCCCTCATGTCTTTCCTAGTTGCAAAATATCGACTCTTGAGGGTTCGTATCGTTCTTCTGCTAAACCGTTCGTTTTCGGATGGTGTTGTATGTATCAATTTAATATTTTTCTCGAAACAAAATTTTCGAAATTCTCCAGAAATAAATTACGATTTGTCTAGGTGTTCCAAACCGTGCGAACCATTTCCTTAAAACCCTGATCATTGTCGTGGACGTGGTCTCTCTCATTAACTCAACCTCAACCCATTTAGTATGTGCATCAACTCCAACTAACCATGAATACGAATCAATAGGCCCCGCGAAATCCAAATGAATTCGTTCCCATGGAATATTAGATATGTTCCACGAATATAAAGGAACCTCCATAATATTCGACCGATTACTTTGACAAGCATACATTGGCGAACATATTGTTCAATATCTTTATCGCAATTCGGCCACCAGCAATACATTCTAAAAATTGATTTCATAGCATTTATTCCTGGATGCCTTCTGTGTATAATCGTTAATATTGATTTCCTCAAAATGGTTGGAATTACCAACTTCCCATTCCATTCAATAACATCATGATCTACTGACAATTCCTCTCTACGATTATAAAAACAAACTAACTCTGTATTTTTTTTCGCATCAAAATCCACCCATCCATGCTCAATCTTTTTAACTACTTTTTTAAACAAGCTATCATTCCTTGTTTGCTTTTGGAGTTCAACTTGACTAATATTTATATCGTGCAAATTTATAGCTCTAATTTTTAACGCGTTTTTTTGATCATTATTTGATTTTATGCCATCTATTGGCAGTCTAGATAATGTATCAGCTACTTTATTTTCTTTTCCAGGAACATATTCAATATCAAAATCATATGCGGACATTTTCCAAGCCCAGCGCGTTAATCGACTATTGGATATTTTTGGTATTCCCGTTTAACACCAAATAATTTTTCCAAAGGTTTGTGATCTGTTCGTAATAAAAATTTTTGACCAAAAATGAAGGTATGAAATTTTTCCATACCAAACAAAAGTGCTCGTGCCTCTTTTTCTATTGGTGCATAATTTTTCTCTGACTCTAGAAGTGTTCGCGAGGCAAATGCGATTGGTCTGCTAATATCTTTTTTCACTAAATGACATAACACAGCTCCAAAACAAGTGTTGGAAGCGTCACATTCCAATATAATTGGCAAGTTTGGCGAATATGGAATTAGCGTTTTATTTGTTGACAAAAGCTGTTTTATTTTATCAAATACCTCTTGTTCCTTGTCCGACCAACCCCAGCAAGATTTAATGCTCGTTAATTTATGCAGAGGAGCGGCAATTCCATGTAGATGTGGCAAAAATCTCTCGTGATAATTCACAAGTCCTAAAAAAGATCGTAATTGGTGTATATTATTAGGAGTTGGTATCCCTCGAATAGCATATATTTTTTCTTTCGCTGGATGTATTCCATATTTGTCTATTACGAAACCCAAAAAAGAAACTGATTCATTTAAAAAACGTATTTTGGCCAATTTTGCCTTCATACCCAGTTTAATGATGCTTGGTACCTTAAGGTACCATCTATCAAATTTGAATTTTGTTCATTTTTCATTTGGATAGGCACTACCAAATATATTTATAATATATATTTATAAAATCGTTATTTTTGCAAAGCCTCTATGGTTTAGTATGCAAGAGCTTGGTATACTTATCCCATGCTCCCGGGTTCGAATCCCGGGAATGGTCATGTTTTTTTTCTTTTTCTAACTTGATGGTTCCATCCTTGGGGGGATAATATATAGGAGGCCGGACTCGACCACGTGATTCCGTATTAATATATTAAATAATAAGGATCTTATTACATTTTAATAAATTTTGGTCGGTATTTAGCAAATTAGGTTGGTATTTAGAATATTTCCATACATACACTTGGTAGTAAGCATCATTAACCTCATACCCACCTGTTTTAGTTTCATTAGTACTTTTTTTACGTTATTCAAATGTTCTACATCATTTTCCCCGTTATGATAATATCGTCAAGATATACTCCGGTCATTTGGCAGTCTTGTAATAAATTGTCCATATATCTTTGAAATATGGTCGGCGCACTAGAAAGACCGAAAGGCATACATTGATATTGGAAATAACCAATGTGGGTCGATATGGTTAAGTATTCTTTTGAACTTTCTTTTATTGGTAATTGTAAATATGCATCTTTCAAATCTATTACCGTAAATTTCAATCCATCTTTTAATTTGGTTAAAAGATCATCCACCGTTGGTATTATATGATAATCGTACAAAATATTCGGGATTAATGTCACCTTAAAATCCGCACAAATCCTGATTTCTCCATTTGTTTTTCGTACGTTTACCGTTGGAGTGGCCCATGTCAACCGTTTTTGTGTTGGATCAATCACCTTCAATATTCCTGATTTAACCAATCTATCGAGTTCCATTTCAATTGGTTTTCGTAATGGAAAAGGTACTCTACGAGCTGGCCATGATTTCGGCCTTCCTGCCTCACTCAAATGTATGCTAACTTCTATATCATTCACTCGTCCAGGCTTGTCATCAAAAACACTGAAAAATTCTGTTGTCATGCCAGCAATTTGTTTATTGGTTGTCATAACCTCTTTATTTGTGATACTATAGTCACTTGTCGTGGAATAAACATATTAAATGCCAGTATCCATGATAGTCTAAATAATGGAATGTCATTTGAACGGGTTACCACAATCGGTAGTGATCTGCTTATCTTTCCAAGACGAACCCTCACCATAGTTTCACCAAGCACATCTAGCGGTTGGTTACCATATACTGATAAAGGTTTGGTTGGTCCAAGTTTGGGTCGGCCAATTTCATCCCAATATTGTTTTCCAATCACCGATACCTGTGCCCCCGTATCATAGTCAAATTCTATATGTACTCCATTTATCCAAACAAATATCTTTGCACTATTTCTACCAATTTGGGAAATATTATTAATTGAATCTGATGAATCATTGTCATCTATATGCATAGCATGTAACTTCTGTCCTTTACAATATTTAGCATAATGCCCTACCTTTTGGCAATTATAACATTTCACCCTTGATGCAAAATATTGAAAAGGGGGATGAGTTCTTCCACATTTTGAGCATTTATTAAACTTATACATATCATTATTGTTAAATTTATTGTTATCTCTAAACTTAAAATTATTATTATTGTTATTGTAATAACTAAAATTACCCTTTTCTTTGTTATTATTATTATATGAGTATTGAAAAAATTTCTTGATTATTCTCTATCTGCTCATGTTTATTGACTTTTTTTACCATCATATTTGTCATTTCATCCTCAGCCCTTTCCATTGCCAAAGCCATATTTAAAACCTGTTGAAAACACCCTTTTTCCCAAGTCATTTATTCTATCTAGAAATCTAGTGCGAATATCTTTCTCCAATGCACCCATTTTGATTCCAGCCACCATATGATCCCTCAATCTCCCATCTAGGTCAGATTCAAATTTACATTCTTGAGCCAATTTTTTAAGTCGAGCTGCAAACTCCGCAACTGATTCACCAACCCCTCTTTCTATCCGAATAAATTTAATTCTCGAGCTAAATAATGTTGAAATACGCTTAAAAACTTTCTTACCCACTTCAATAATCTCTTCATAATTAAGATCTTTCAATATTTTTGGATAAACAAAGGACCTCATCTCTGCTAAATTACTAATACCCATATTTTTTTTTGGTTTCATTATTTACTAATATACCTCTTATCTCCAACATATCATCAATATATTCAATGTAATCAGCAAAATTGTTTTGCCTGTCGAAGTTATCAAATTTGATCATAATGTTATCATTTTTTTCTTCTTTATTCATAATTACTTTATTTGTCTTCTTTGTTCATAATAAGATCATCGACAACGTCGCCAATATACTAATTAGTCTTAAATAAGCATACACAAATATGGATGGCTTTATTGACTGGCAATCACCTGATATATATATTAATATGATTGATTTGTATGTATGACATTTATAACATTGATAATATATATATAAATCTCATTTATAACACTTTCGACTACGACTAATAGTCGTACTCATGGAAATAGACTAAAAACTTTAGCGACTAAAACGACTAATATAGTCGACTAAAGCGACTAATTTAGTCGACTAAAACGACTAATATAGTCGACTAAAAAGACTAATATAGTCGACTAAAACAACTAATTTAGTAGACTAAAACGATTAATTTAGTCGACTAAGTTGATCTATTTAGTCAGCATATAGGTAAATATATATTGTAAACATATTAAGTTAAAATTTATGTGAAGATTTACCATAGAAAAGTGACAATTGTCATAATCGTTATTTTTGAACTTTTTTGAATTTTTTCAAAGCGAATAGGTAAAAATATATATTGTATAAAGATCAATGATATATATAACTATAGATTGGCCATCATGCATAAAAAAACGTCCACATATTGAAATCAGCTGTAGCGCCATTTTGTAGCTTGTACGTTGATCAAATGCCTCAATAATAATACTAATTTTTAAAAATTTAACAATTTTATATCTAATAATTTGTTAATAATTTAATTATGTAAAATAATCAAATGAATCCTAACCTCAACTGATCTTCAATTAAATTACATTGGTATTCTATAAAATAAAAAAACTCAACATTTAATCCAATAGTAGTATGTAATATCATTAAATTACTTTCACCCAGAAATTATTCAGAAACATAGATTGCTACGATATCACTGAAACAAAAATCACCAAAATTATACCCATACAAAATATTCCATACTTATATCTAATACACCCTCAAATATTCAACCAAATAAAGTCCACTGCCTATATTTAATTGCCAAAAAAACTTATCACATGACTCAATCAAGAAAATACTTCTTTCAATCAGTTTTTAGTTAATTTATCTACTTGATTAATATTATTATAAAAATAAATTTATTTTTAAACATTCCTCAACCATTAACCCCCAATTATTTATTAGAAAATCTAATTTATCTAATTTATTTTATACATATTAATTGCATATATCAAAATCATTTATTTTTTTATATATATTTGTTAATTTTTCTTATAAAATTAGTTTTTATAATTTTATCAAATTCACTTGATGTTTCAAAAAAAATCTTACTATCCACTTATTGTTCATTTATGGAATCCTTATTATTAAATATAATAATATTTTATGATTCATATCTTATTAATAAATAAAAATGATGCATCGATATTTATTGTAGTTGCTGGTACTTTTAATTTTAGTTAAGTAATTTATACCTTAAAATAATAATCAAAATTTATATAAAAAAAGAGATCTGTATAGATATAATTAAATAAAATCTACAAATTTTGTTTTACTAATAAGAGAAATCAGTGTTAATTTTTTTCTTACTTTTTTAACTTATTTTTATTTTGTATTATTAATTTTATTATAAAGGATGAACCAAAGATATACTCTAAAAGTAGATGAAGATCAATTAATTACGTTAAGAAAATAAGATTTATAAAAAAATATCCTGTCAATTAAAAATTATTTTGGATTATGTGTTCTAGATGAAATAAGTTAAACCATCTTAAAAGATGGGTTGAGAGCTCATCTCACTTAATTTTTATTGTAATAATCATTTATAATTTTTTTTGTTTTAATTATTTCATCTTAATTATAAATGACAAATGAAAACATCTTTTATTTTTTTTTCAATAAAAACATAGTGTAATAATAACATTTTTTGCATGGGTATAAATTATTATATAAATCATTTAAATAAGGTTTATACAATAAATATATAAAAATATAAATGTGTACACTTTAAAAAACAAAATGTATTTTTAACAATATGATGATTCACATTCATATTATCTTTGATTATAAACATTCATCCTTTTTGATTCTATCATCACCTATAAAAAATAAAATATATTTACATTAGCATAGATTATATATAATATCATAATTTTTATAATATGTCTTATATAAGGCCTGTTCTTTATACAATATAATTTTTAAAAAATAAAAGAAGATATAAATATTAATTTACATGACTTATTGATTATTAAATTGTATTGCTTTTGTAAGATTTTTCCTCATACCAGTTCTCAATTCCTGGTTTCTCAAGTCAGCAAAATGGAAAAATCTAATATTTAAATATCTTTAAAAAAAATAGTATTAAAACTAATAAATGATTACCTTTGAACAATTAATTTTACAAGAATTTGAAAATGGCTGTAACAATCTCATGTTCATTAATATCTTCAGTAAGATCAATAAAAATATTTGTACCAATTATTGTGGAAAAAACCAACACTTCCATTTTTTTAATAATATTTTTACGTTTAATATCATTTTGATAAGTTCTAAATGAACTTTCAAAAATTCGGCATAATATAGACATACTAGATGAAGGAATCACTAACCCCCCATTATACTATATTTATTAGGCATAAAACTTTTTCTATTTATAGCCTGTAACCATTTTTCCAATAATTCTTTGGATTTTAATGGAAATCTATATTTAAAAATAGGTGAATAATAATGAGTAAAATATAAGATATATTTATGACATTGATACAAAGATAGATAGTATATAAAAATCAATATAAATATCAGATCGGTTATTAGTAATATAGTATTGAATCAGTGAAAATTTGTTGATTGGCAGAGCCTCTATTAATATATATATGGTTTACATATTTCTTACAAATATTTAAAATGAAACTGTATCATAGTAAATATGTATTTTAAAATGGCTAACTTAATATTTTATCCAGAAAAATATTTAGGCAAAGTTCAAAATAGAAATCTTATCAACTCAATAGGAAGAAGCATTATTTGTCCTAGCAATAAAAATGAGAAAACTTTATATTTTTACTAAATAAGGATTTTTTTTCAATGTTTGTAGCTTATTAATGCTTTATGTAATAAATATGTTGCATATAAAAAATAATATATATACTTATGATAAGAAATATGTGTATTAGATTCTATTTTATATGTTTTATTACAATTATGAACACAGCACACTCCCATTATCTAATTAAATAATAAATGATAGTGATATTATAAGATCTGTTTTGCATGTATCCTAAGATGCATTAACATAAGATTTATAAGTCCATGCAGGATTAGGTTAAACTATATTTTAAAAAATTAAAAGGTGGGTTAGTCTTAGATTCATTTTTTAAATATAATCACCTACTCCACCTTCATAAAAAAAGTCTTATGAAAATTTAAGAATAAAAGATACTATAAAATATTATATCATAAATCACCTTTAAAACTAGACTTGTTTTCTATATATTAATATTTCTTGCTGACAAATAATGGATAACCAAACTACAAAATGGCGCTACAGCTGATTATAATGTGTGGACCAATGACATATAATAATACCTAGACTGACGATTCATTCATTAAAATGCATTTTTAAGCGTCGTTAAAAGCAAATCAGCTGGACCCGCCATTTTGGTAACAGATATCATTATTAAAATTTTAAACGAGAGCCTAATTTATTACTATATCTGAAATTTTTCCTATGATACTTAACAAAGAATTTAAATCCACATCCATCTGCATTAATGGTACCATCAAGGATCCTATCCCACAAATATTCCAAGGCTATTCTTCCAAGAAGATATATATTTAGCAGACCAAATTCAAATAATTTAAAATTATATGACTAAATTATTAAAATTTATATTTTAAACATTTTTTTATACATAGAATATAAAGTATCTAATAAAGTTCCCTTACTTATCATTTGTTTTTCTTAAGACACAATATAATTGTTTTTAATCTAATAAGGTAGATATATTTAAATCATTGCTTAAATTTATGTTTATCTTAATATGAGACTTTACTTGCCCTTTTAATATTTCGAATCATACAAGGTGATAAACTAAATCATCAGGATTTTTATTATAAATATTCATATTGTTAGTGACAATTGTCATAATCGTTATTTTTTAACTTTTTGGAATTTTTTTAAATTAAATAGATAAAAATATATATTGTAAAGATGTTAAAATAAAATTTCAGTGAAGATGTACCATAGAAAAGTGGCAATTGTCATAATCGTTATTTTTTAACTTTTTAATTTTTTTTAAAGTAAATAGGTAAAAATATATATTGTAAAGATGTTAAAACAAAATTTAAGTGAAGATGTACCATAGAAAAATGACAACTGTCATAATCGTTATTTTTAACTTTTTTGAATTTTTTTAAAGTAAATAGTTAAAAATATATATTTTAAAGATGTTAAAATAAAATTTCAGTGAAGATGTACCATATAAAAGTGACAATTGCCATAATCGTTATTTTTTAACTTTTTTAAATTTTTTTAAAGTAAATAGGTAAAAAAATATATTGTAAAAAGATGTTAAAATAAAATTTCAGTGAAGATGTACCATAGAAAAGTGACAATTGTCATAATCGTTATATTTTTAACTTTTTTGAAATTTTTTAAAGTAAATAAGAAAAAATATATATTGTAAAAATGTTAAATTAAAATTCAGTGAAGATGTACCATAGAAGAGTGACAATTGTCATAATCGTTATTTTTTAACCTTTTTGATTATTAAAACAAATAGGTAAAAATATGTATTGTATAAAATAAATCCTCAGAAAAGATGTATCATAGAAAAATGACAATTGTCATAATATTTATTTTTCAACTTTTTTGCTGAAACGAGCTGACTTTAGCCTCCGCCCGTTATCATTAACTGCCATAATTGACGTGTATGGTTTCGCAAACCTCGCTAGCTCTAGATTGACAAATCAAGATTGAAATAATATCTAGATATCATAAATACTCATAAAACTTATTCAATTTATAGAAGAGTTTATAAACTTTTCAATAAAATTTAAAATATATAAATTATTATATATTTAAATAAAAATTAAAATTCTGTCATGTAAAAATCTTTTAAAAATTTCACAAAATTTTATTTCTAAATAAAAATTTTAGCAATCATTTATTAATGAAAACTATATTAGGATAAAATTTTAACCTTCTGGTTTATTTAATTTTAAAATGAGATTAAATGGTTTTATAAGCCCCGGGGTTTACCTAACCCTAGTCACCCCTATACTATTATATAATTATGTAATTTAACTTCTAATATTTTGCAATTATATTGACTTCAATATAATTGCTATAAGAAGGTTATAATATTGTATAACAAAATATTCAAATAATAGCTTTGAATTAGTGATCTGCATCGGGCCTAATTTTTCAGGCCTGGCCCGACCCGAAATATTAAAAAGTTTACCCCGTGGAACGAAATTTTTTTTAAAAAAATTTACCGGCCCGGCTCGAATTAATTTAAATACAGAAATTGATTTATATAATTTCTCTAATTAAACGATATTTATTATATGGTATCTAGTTTCTATAAATAAAATAAAATATTTATATTTTACATAAAAAAATTAATCATAAAATTGATAAATTTATATAAAAAAATTTCTAAGGCCCACCCCACCCGGCCCGAATTTTCTTAAAAAATATTCGGCCCCACCCAGCACAAATCCAATTTTTTTTTTAAAAAAACCCGGCAGAACCTTGCAAATGGTACCTCAAAGGTCTCTGATTTAAATCATGATTTAAAATTTTACAATTACAATACTATTCTTAAAATTAATCTTTTTATTATATTAGTATATTCTAAAAATTAATATCTTTTCTTAAATTAAAATAAAAATACCCCCCCCCCCCCCCCCGCTTATAAAAATTATTTAAAAAACAATGAATTTTATATCCAAAAAATAAAATTATTACCCCCCCCCCCCCCTTTGGTGCTAGCTAGACGATAATTATAAGAATAAAAATATTTTAAGTTATTTATTTTTTTTATCTTAAGAAAGATTATTATTAAAAATATAAACAATTAAATTATTATTAAAAAAATAAAAATTATAAAAAAAGAACAAAATAAATAAAATATAAAATTATCCCGCCGAAACTATTTTTTTTATAAACACTTTTCCTTATGATCATTTTTAACTTATTTCTTCATTGTTTATTTTATTTTCTATCAAATTTACCTTTCTTATATTAAAGTTTCGAAAATGACTTGTGAAATCTTTATTTAATGTATATTTTATTTACATAATAAAAGATCAAAAAATATTTATTTTTCTATTTGTATTGCACATAATATAACGAAAAAATATATCTATATTATATAATAATCTAGTGAAATAATTTATTAAATTAATTGTTCAAAGGAATAGATCGGATTCCCTTTTCGATATATCGTATCGTATGTGAATAGAAGGCTGTGAAATTGAAATTAGTGAAATTAAGTAATAGGCTAGTAATTGCCTCAATTATATAAATTCTGTTATTGGGTTTGGGATATATAGAACGATACTGATTTTTCAAAACACCAAAAAAATTCTCAAGGGGTTTAATTGAGGGGAATAGGGTGGAAGATATATTATATTTTGATAGTTTTCTCTTATTATATGAGCTCGGTCAGTGGCGTAGCTACGGGGGGGGTTTTCGGGTTTGGACCCCCCCAGAGCAATTAATTTTTTTTTTTTTAGAATATTCTATTAAAAGACTCAAAAGTGACTTTATATCAAATAAATACCATGAATATTTATATTTTTCTGGTTTTGATGTTTGTGGAAGGATATTATTACTTTTAATTTTAAATATATATATAAATTATTCTGTATATTATTTTAAAGTCATTGATAATAATCTATTAATTTTAATAATATATTATTGATGCATTTTTAAAAAAATATTTATTATAAATTATCCAAGATATGGTTCGATAATAATAATATGAAATAAAAAAGTGCATAATCTACCCCCCCCCCCCCTCAGAGCAATTTTTTTTAGATTATTCGTTCAAAAGACTCAAAAGTGACTTTATATCAAATAAATACCATGAATATTTATATTTTTCTGGTTTTGATGTTTGTGGAAGGATATTATTACTTTTATATATATATAAATTATTCTGTATATTATTTTAAAGTCATTGATAATAATCTAATAAATTATAATAATTTTATGCATATTTAAAAAAATATTTATTATAAATTATCCAAGATATGGTTCGAAAATAATAATATGAAATAAAAAAGTGCATAATCTACCCCCCCCCCCCCCCCCTCAGAGCAATTTTTTTAGATTATTCGTTCAAAAGACTCAAAAGTGACTTTATATCAAATAAATACCATGAATATTTATATTTTTCTGGTTTTGATGTTTGTGGAAGGATATTATTACTTATATATATATATAAATTATTCTGTATATTATTTTAAAGTCATTGATAATAATCTAATAAAATATAATAATATATTATTTATGCATATTTAAAAAAATATTTATTATAATTTATCGAAGATATGGTTCGAAAATAATAATATGAAAATAGTGCATAATCTACTTTCTCTGCTTTTATTTCTAATAATATATATTTGGTTTATATTTTGTAGCATTTTTATAAATGAAATTATTAAAGAGATTAAATTTATGACTAAAAAGTAAAGATTGTTATTTCCTATTTACGAACTTTAAGATTGAAGGAAATGGACATTAGAAAATATTTACTAAGTAACAAAAAAAATTTACCAGCTAATATCTCATGCAATTTATGCCCTGTTGAAAATGATAAGCATGATATAAATACACGAGGTTAAAAAATATTTAATCCAGTGTACTAATTAATATCTTATGCATTATAGGCTCTATTGAAAATAATAAGGATGATGTAAATACACCAGGTCAAAATAACATTTAATATAAAAGATATTTAAAATTAATAGCTAACTATTTTTATTTTAGAATTTAAAATTAAACACCTAGTCATAGTTTTAACTAAATTAAAATTGCCAGTACAAACCACTTTGGGTAATTTATTATTTTAAATAATTTTGGCTAACCAAAATATTTTGACATTTATAAGATATACCCAAACGTAGGAGGGAAGAAAATGATCTTGATACACTCATTTATATACCCAAAGACCATATAAAATCACTACCTAGTACAAGTAATATAATCTATTAAGATTTAAATATTTTTTATTATAGATTTAGATATATCAAGTATTACATTTAATAAAAATGATGATAGTCAACAAAATGAACATACCAAATCACTAATTAATATAGAAAATCAAAATTTTAATGATGAACTTGATATCATAAGCAACAATTTACCACCCACATCAGGTATTTTATAATGACCTTATTTAAATGAATCACTAATTAATATAGAAAATCAAAATTTTAATGATGAACTTGATATAACAATTTACCACCCACATCAGGTATTTTATAATGACCTTATTTAAATGAATCACCAATTAATATAGAAAATCAGAATTTTAATGATGAACTTGATACCATAAGCAACAATTTACCACTCACCTCAGGTATTTTATGAACTTATATGACCTTATTTAAATATATTCATTTAAATTTTAGAAATACCTAGATACTCTATAAAAAATTATGATAAAAATAAGCTAAATACACTTGATCACTTCAAATCTCTACCTAGTAAAAGTAATGTTAACTATTACCTTTAAATATTTATATCATAATTTTAGGTATATCAAGTATCACATTGAAGAAGAATGATAGTAGTCAACAAAATATTATAGGCTGTATCAATTTAGAATTTAAAGGTTATCTAATATGTTGTTTTATTTTAATTTATTTTTATAGGAATATCTCAATTAATATTCACACCAAGGGGTAAAAAAAATAGTGATAACAAACAAAAAAATACACTAAGTCACAACAAATCACTATCTAATAAATGTAATGTAATCAATTACTTATTAATATTTACATTAAAATTTTAGATATATCTAAAAAATCTAGGGAGAATTTAAATTGAAATGATGTTCCACTCATGTCAGGTATTAGTCTATCACCTACTACAAGTGATATAGTCTATTACTTTATACTTATAATAATCAAAAGTTGGTTCCAAAGCTAACATGTCATCTATGATTATTAGCCTAGGTTTCTCAATATTAATTTTAAACATCTATCATATATTGGTAAAAAAATATTGCCAACACAATTTTGATTTTTTCACTTTGAAGGATATCGACTTAAATTTACAGTTTAAAAAAAACATTTATTTTTTAATCTATAGTTTTAATGTGTTTACTAATTATAAAATATATCATTTATAATTAAGGCAATATAATATTTATAATTAAAGCAATTTATATGTGTAATACTAATATTTATAATTAAGGCAATATAATATTTATAATTAAAGCAATATAATATTTATAATTAAAGCAATATAATATTTATAATTAAAGCAATATAATATTTATAATTAAATCAATATAATATTTATATTTTAAATAATCGCTTTTTATTTGTAAATAACTTCTAAAAGTATAATAAAATGAAACGTATATCAATAAAATTGTGTCAATGTGTTATTTTAATTAAAATTAGTGGCTCAATTTTAGCCGATATGGCTAACTCAATATATTAGCCAGAAAATTTTGCTCATGGAGATACAAGTTTTATATTATTCGAGAAATCTCTAGGCTTGAACAATATTTTTTGGCAAAAATATTGAGTTAGCTGTTTATAAAAATCAGCTCAAGTCGAGCCGTTTAACAACACTAATTAAAATAATTAATAATTCTAGGACTTTTATATTATAAGAAAAACCAATATGATTTTTAAGATAAACCCGGCCGAAGGCCGGGCAAAAGGGCCGAAGGCCCGTAAAAGAGGGGTCTGAGGGGCGAAGCCCCCAGGCTTTTATATATGGACCCCCTCTAAGGAAAATTCCTAGCTACGCCACTGAGCTCGGTAAATGGGCGCATTATCCATTATTATTAGCGTTCAACGGTAAAATGTATAATAATTCATCCAGGTAAGTTTTGAATTTTATTGATGTAAATGCCCTGTCTATAATCATGTATTTTTTGAAACCATTAATTCCTATGGAGCATAAAACCGATACGTTTTTCCCCTTTGAAGGAGGGAGTTTTACGGATGGCTTCTTACCCAGAGGTGCCCATCTATAGTATGAAATGACGTGGGAATTAAGCCTGTTTCATCTAAATAGAATATATTTTGAAATGGCACGTTCATCATATTTAGGCAATATTCATAGCGAATATTTATACCTGGGGAATTCCGTCTATTGGGTTCTTTTTCAACCCTTTTCCTGCTCCATCCCATTGATTTAAGGCAACTAGATATTCCCGAATAACTCATTTTAAGATGAGGTGGCAAATTTTCCACTATATTTGTTTTCGTCAATGCATTATTATATTCTAGTAGCTGTATAATTTTAGATTTTAATTCTGAATCATCCTTTTTTTTCCTACTTCTTTGATGGATTATGTAATCTGCCAAGGGGGCACCGTAGTATTCGGGGAATGGTACATCTTCACTGAAATTTTGTTTTAATATCTTTACAATATATATTTTTGCCTATTTACTTTAAAAAAATTCAAAAAAGTTAAAAAATAACGATTATGACAATTGTCACTTTTCTATGGTACATCTTCACTAAATTCTTTTTTTAACAACTTTACAATATATATTTTTACCTATTTACTTTAAAAAGATTCAAAAGTTAAAAAATAACGATTATGATAATTGTCACTTTTCTATGGTACATCTTCACTGAAATTTTATTTTAACATCTTTACAATATATATTTTTACCTATTTACTTTAAAAAATTTTAAAAAGTTAAAAAATAACGATTATGACAATTGTCACTTTTCTATGGTACATCTTAACTGAAATTTTATTTTAACATCTTTGCAATATATATTTTTACCTATTTACCAGGGATGTGAACCCTTCGACAAAAAAAAGGGTCCGGGTTCGGTAATAAATTTAAAAAGGACCCGGGTCCAGGGTTCAGAGGAAACATAAAAATAATGACTCAAAATAAGACTTTTTTTCATTCATTTTTTATTATACTTCAATATATAACATTTATAATTCGAAATGAGATAATTTATATTTTAAATATTTTATTCAATCGCACAATCATGATACCTTCTAAAATATCATTCTTCAGATTTCCACGTAAATTAGTCAACGATGAAAATCCACGTTCAACGCTTACCTAAAATAGATAGTCATTTTTATAATACATAAATTATTGTACTTGTGTCGCCGGTACAGTCATGACAATTCTAGAAAAGGTATATAATTCTGAATATATTGAAGAATTTTCCTCCCAGAATTTTAAAATGTTTGCATCTCTATTTATTCTCATAACTTCCGAGAACTTTTCTATTAAAGATACAATAGATATTTTTTGCTCCTTTTTATCAGATGATAATTTAATTTTTTTTCTCTATCTAATAGTAAAATTTCCAGATCATCAATATCGTTATCATTATCATTGTTATCGCTACAACCAGTAGATATTGTTGTAACCACTAATGTATTGTAAATAATAGTTTTGGGTATGACATAAATCTTCAAGATGGTCTATAGCCATTTGTTTTTGCTCACTACTTAATAAAACCTGATATCGCGGGTCTAAATATATCGAAGCATATACAACACTATTTTGTAAATATTGTTGCTCTCTTATTTTCTAATACTTCATTAGAAAAAGAACTTGTTAATCTTCCTAACTCTAATCGACATTTTAACCATATGCCATAAATATCCGATAAACATAATTGTTCAGCTTGCACTCTTAATGTTGTTATTTTTAAAGGAATCAGCACACTAGTAAGCTCTTTTACTTGATTCCAATCATCTTCTGACAAAATGATTTCACATGCTCCTATGATAAAATCATTACAGAAATCTTTCAAACTTAATAATCGCTCTAGCATCATACACATAGAGGACCAACGTGTTGTGCAATCTAAAATTGTCATTTACCTTTTCATGGATTTTAATATTCTAACAATTGTGGGAGTTCTTAAATATTTTACAACATCCCTTGCTTTATCAATTATAGTTTTAAAGTGACTATTTTTTAGGGAGATTCCACGAAAAAAATTAATAAAATTATAAAAATTTTATATTATTTTTTAAATTATATTTTTACATTAATTTTTAAAAAAAAATTTTAAGTTAAAAATTTTTAACACCCTGAACCCTTGGACCCTCCATTTTTTAAAAGGGTCCGGGTTCAGCCAAAATACGTAGGTCCAGGGTCCGGGTTCACATCCCTGCTATTTACTTTAAAAAAAGTTAAAAAATAACGATTATGACAACTGTCACTCTTCTATGGTACATCTTCACTGAAATTTTATTTTAACACATTTACAATATATATATTTTTACCTATTTACTTTTCAAAAATAACGATTTTGATAATTAATATTTTTCTATGATGGTACATCTTCACTCAAATTTTATTTTTACATCTTTACAACATATTTTTACCTAAAAAATTTAAAAAAAGTTCAAAAATAACGATTATGACTTAATTTAGTCGATTTAATTAGTTCTTTTAGTCGACTAAATTAGTCGTTTAGTTGCTAAAGTTTTTAGTCGAATTTTTCGACTAAAACAATTAGTTAGTCGACTAAATTAAGAATTAACAACACTAGTCTATAGTATTAATGTCACTGTATAAATTTAAATCAGGTATCACCTTTAAAATTATTTAGCATATTTATTGTTTCAAAATAGTGTATATTCATTTTGTTAATATCAAAGATAATTATCGATATCGCTTAATTTATACTAGATTTCTAGTGGAGACTTTTAAAACATATGTTGTCTCAATAAGCCAACAGATCAAAATGGATTTTTTAACATATAAACATATTGAACCAGTTATTGATAAATTTACTCGATTTGCAATCCCATTGTATATCGAAATGCTAGAAAAACACAAATATAATTTGCATAAATACATACAATATCACGAATACTTTAAAATTAATAAGGAATTAATTAATTCCAGAACTACTGTATTGCAATTAAAGTTTGAATTAAATGAATTAGAAAATTTGAGAAGAAATATTTTAATGGACGATATAGTAAGTTTTGATAATAGAGTCAAAATAACAAAAGAAAATGCCATTCTTTCTTTACAATCATTTGAAGAATTTATAAAAATAGTAAGTTTAAAAAATAAAATATCTGACTTAACAAAGAATGAAATATTAGATGATAATAAAGTTATATCTTCAATTCCAAATGATACAATGTTCTTACTCTCTCAATCAATGACTCAGGAAGTTCATAATTACAAAGACATCCTTGAAGAAAATAATAAAAACTTACAAACACTTCAAAAAGATTTAAAAGAAGTTAATCAAATTTTTATTGTATTGTCCTCTATTGTTGATCAAAGTAAAGAAAAATTAAATTCGACAGAAACCAAAATACTCGAATCAAACTTTTCAACTGAAAAAGGCATTAAAAATTTAACACAAGCACTTAAATATAAAGGAACGATATACCCAATAATGGGTGCTGCATTAGGAAGTTGTATAGGTGGACCTGTAGGTTTCTTTTGTGGAATAAAAATTGGAGGTATAGCTGCATTAAGTGGAGCAATAATTGGTATTCAAGGTGGGCAATTGATTAAGAAAATAAAGAAAAATAATATGGAGATCAATGATAATGTTTTAAGCAATAATATTGTGACCTCTAAAAATAATGAAGAAACTACTCAGATTCTCAAAGATAATGATTATAACTGGCGCAAATATATAAGATTAACACCTAAAAAGTCAAAAGAACATCATCTTTAAAAAAAATATAATTTTTAAATATATTAAATTTTTAACACTTTTTATAATTTTTAAATATATTAAATTTTTAACACTTTTTAAAACTGACATATTTTTAGATATTATAATATTTATATCTTGAAGATAAATAAAATTGCATAGACCCTTGAAATATAAAAATAAGCCTGAAAAGGAAGTAATTTTAATAAATTAATCAATTGTATTTACAATATTATATTCAAGTATTCTTAATCAATGTCAAAAGTTATAATCATAATCATACATCATTTAAAATTTTTGAATTATTCAAATTTGTATAAAATTTTTCGTAAAATGTTAGAGTTTCATATTGAGTAGGTGTAATATAACTGTTCTTATCAAGGCTGTCATTTTTTATTCCAAATAATCCTATAGCTGAAGAAGCCTTATTTTTTTCAATCATAGAACCTAGCACTCCTATGGTACAGGTTGCATCCATGGCCACATCTATATCAGCTTCAATGATGGATAAAATCTCCTCTAAAAATTGCTCTTTACCCTTTTCCTCATCATTGTTTACAAGGGAGTCCTCACTACAGAGTTTTATATCTTCGTTCAAACATGTAACACATATTGTTGCAACATCTAATAAAACACTATTAAATCTTGGGTCCTGTAGAAACTTAAGAAGGAAGGCCTTAAAATTTTTCATTATTCTTTGACTTTCTAAAGCTCCCACTTCGCCTTTGTCCTTTTGGTTGTTGTTATCATAAGTCCATTTTCTTCCTGCCAAAACTGTCTTGAGTTTATTTTGTCTGATTAGTTCGCGCAAAAAACTAATCGTCACCTGATTTTGTTTCATCGAAGAAAAATTTATATATATAAAATTTAAATATGGTTTAACTTATTGTATTATATAATTTTGGTATAATCAGAGTTGGGAAGGTCCTCTTGATTTTTTATAATAATATAATTTTTAAATACAAGTACCTTACTAGAAATATCAAAAATAATATAAGATTTTCTGATGAATAAGAGTATCCTCAATACAATCTGATCTTTATTTATTAAATTAGAATTGTCAAAGATATCAATATTATATATTTATTTCCAAAACATACATTTATAATTAGAAAGAATATTAATAGTCTTGGTATTGAACACAAATATATATTTATTGATAATGCTTATTTTAGTCATGATTAGTGTGTTAACCAAAACATGAATAGATACTTTTATTTCAAAAGAATCTTGTATTTTTTTCATTTTCTTGGCAAAGATACATCCAATACTTTTTTATTTTTGTCAGAGTTGTTAAACGCTATTTTTAAAAGTAGCGCGCTACCGCTATAGCTATTTGTCAAAAAAAATTTTAGAAACAAATTTTTTTTTATTTATTTTTTGCTTGTAATGTAAATGTATAATAAATAATATATAAAAATCAACATTTATAAATATAAAAATATAGTTAGTTTAGATTATAAAAAAATAAGCAATATAAATAAATATTTATTTTAATTTGTTGCATTTTAATAATAATATCATTTCAATATTATCATCCCCAAGTCTAGAGCGACGATCAGAAAGTATAAGCTTTGCTTTGCTAAATAATCTCTCGACACTAGCACTTGAGGGCAAGGAAGCTCTAAAAATATTTAATCAGATCAATTTATAAATATAAATAAGTTTTTACCTTCTGTTATGTGTCCAACTATCTGCCGGTGTACATACATAAGATATATCTGATAACTCTACTATTAGAGCATCTTTCATCACTTTGAAGTTGTCGGCTATTTTATTCATAAGTGTCTGGAGACATAAAACTGTTGTGCCCGGGGATAAAGTTTTAATCATCATAGTAAATGATGGATTATCAACCAAGGACAATCTGAACTGTGTCAATAATAAAATTAACAATTACTTTATCAGCCAATTTTTGTGAAATATTGGCATGTTTATTATCAGTTAATTTGGTTTGGATAGTATTTGTCTTTTTGAATGAAGATTCTCTTATACCAAAATTTTTTATATGTTTCTCTATTTCCTAATAGCAATTGGCGTGAACAGTCTAATAAAATAAATAATATTATAATGTAAAAATAACAATTTACCTTTAGGTGTTTCTTTGGATTATAGCTACTCGATTGATTTGATGATATATTTTTTTTATATTTTAAGCACAGGAATTTGAATCCAGATTTTGTTTTAATATTTATTTTAAAAATTCAAATCTAGGGATTTGGAAATCGTTATTAGAGCTATTAAGTACATTTTCTTCCATTGAATCTTCCATGTCTGAATCACTTTCAAGGATTTGGATATCCATGGGCGATGCCATTTTAGATTATTAACACAGATTGAAAATATAAATTAAAAATATATTTAAATTTCAAAATTAAATAATAAATTATAATTAATTATGATATTATATTTAAATTTTCATGTTTATACTTACATTCATTATATTTTTTAAAAAAAGTAGCGGCTATTAGCTATAGCTACTAAAAACGCGCTACTTTAACAACTCTGATTTTTGTTTAAAAAATTCAATATTCCTTTTTAACTTTTTTTCTCGTAAATTTTTGCATTAATTCTGTTGTTTTTTCTACTATCCTTGAATTAATATTTTATTATTTTGTAGTAAATTAGAAATTTTTTTATTATTTATTGTCCATATTTATTTTAATAATTTTATGTAATAAAATAATCATCTTATTTTTATTGTGGAAAAAATAATTATTTATATATCACAGTGCGAAATTTTGGATTGCCTGCCTTTTGGACACAGTATACTTGCTAATAGCGTCACTAAGAGGAATCGCAGGGGCTCAAGTCCCCTGAAAAATTTGAAAAGTCCTTTCAAAATTTTTAAATTTTTTATACCACTAAAAAAAAGGTAAGTTAGCTTAAAAAAAAGAAGGTAATCTTGAACATAATTTAATCTTTTATGCCCCCTGAGTTGTAAAAGCTAGTGATGCCCTTGGTAAAAATAGTAATATATTATGTTTTTGATTTGTTTATTATAGTTGCATAAAAAAGATTTTTTTATAATGATGCTTCTTTTGGTTTTTATATTTTAAATGATATTGTAAAAATATTTTATTATAATCGTCGAAATAATATAAAAAAAATTCTAAACAATTAGAAAAATTTTAAGCAGTTCGTTTCGAAAAATAAACCATATAATTTGATGTCCTTTCTTTGAAATCTATATTTCAGCTCTAGCAGCTGGGTTGAAAAGCAATTCTGATTTTTTGCAAACAACGCAATTCTCGCTTATAGCTTAAAAAATCGTGAAAGAATAACTGCAATGTATGCGGCAGACAGAATAGATAAAAATTTTCATAAAAAGTACTAAGATATCTTATTTAGAAAAATATAAAAGTATCTTTTATATATTTAATAAGATACTTGTATCAGTAATTATTTGATAAAGAATATGTATAGGTTCTTTTTTTAATGACCAGCCCAACTCTGAATATAAGCTATATAGTCGATAAGATTTGTAGAGATGTATAAATCAACAAACAGATAATATGTTAATGTTTTAACAATTAAACTATCCAAAATAAATTTCTAATAATATATTACGATATCAATTATACAGGGTTTGCCGTTGTTTTAAACAACATTCCTTATATTTAGTTTTCATTCAATTCGAACATATTTTTACCATTCTTTCAAACAAATTCTCATTGAAACGAGCATTGTTTAAAAATAATAATTTTTTATATTTAACATAATTTATACATTAAAACTCAGGAGAATATCTATAAAATTATTTTAAAAAATTCTAAATAAATTAATTTCGTTAAAATAATTTTGTGCATCAAAAAGCATATTATAAAATAACCGAGGAAAAATATTTATAGGTAAATATATAATATTTAATACATAAGAAATTTTTTAACATATTGTTTTAATAAATCAAGTATTTATATATTCCTTTACATAGAAAAATTATCCTTCACTTCTTGTACTTATATCTATAGATTTAAAAGGGAAAAAAGAATGAAATCTAATAAATAAATTCATCCATTCAATTGCGTTACTTGGATTAATAAAATATGTTTTTTCCAAGTTCTAACTAATTATGCACATGAGATTTACATTTTTTTAATTTATACTTTTTATAACAATGAATATATTTGGTTTTAGTGTTTTAAAGATGACACAATGATGATCTTTTTAGAAAATTCTTTCAAACTTCCTCCCTTAAAAAAATTTTAAAATATATCACTTTCAAAATTTATATGGCAAATTATCCTCGTAAAAAAAGATATCTTTAGTATTTTTTTCTATAAAAAATAATAACTTTCTTTTTATTCAAAAATAAGATAGATATTCTTTTTGTATTTTTTAAAATAAATATATTTAAAATTTTAAAAATAATTTTATAGATATCCTGCTGATTTTTAATGTATAACTTATAAGTTTGGCGTAAAAAATTATTTTATTTAAATAAATGCCCGTTTTAAAAGAGAATTTGTTGAAAAGAACGGTAAAAATAAGGGTAATGATATTTGTTTTAATATGATGTTCGAATTTAAGAACAAAATATGTATTTTGCCAAAATAGATATAATTAATTATTATATTTACATAATGTTTTTACACAAAAAAATCAACAAATATAAATAATATTATTATTTAAATAGATAACTGAGTAGCGACTAGTATGTATGCTGTGCCCAAAGAAAATAGTCCAAAAGGTAGGATAGTGAAATATAAATACTCCCCCCCCCCCCATATGATTATTTTATTTTCATATATACAATGATAATTAGTAAAATATTTCAAATTATAAAAGTTGTAGTATAGGTTCCTTGAAGTTAGAGCTGTGCCGATAGTAAATATCGGATTAAATCGGCACCGATATTAAGCGTTTTCAAAAAAAATAGGATCAGGCCGATACCTGTAAAAACCCGAGTCGATTTTTAAACTTTTTTTGTTATTTTATTTTATATATGTATATTTATATAGTTTATTTTACATTTTTGTAATATTTCAAAAGTTTTTTTATTTAATTTTAAAAAAATTTAAAGATTCTTAATCTTTTTTTAAAAAAATAATTTTTTATTATTAAATTGAAAATAAAAGAGAAACTAGTAATAAATATTATATTTGAAATTGATAATGTAGATGACCTGTCATACTTGAAAGAAATCAAGGAATATTTAAAAGAATCTAGACGATATAATAACATATTTTATCTAATAGTGCTTGGTTGGGTTATGATTGACCCATTTGTTATGGTGGTATCTGATTATTTAGATAACTCTAATAACATTGATATTATCATCTGGATCCACTTAATTATTGGAGAATTAATGCTGAAAAGGTATCCTCTGTAAAAACGCATGTAAATTTTTGGCGCCTCCTGAAACATGTGTCACATCTGAGTCTATCAAGACAGGAAATATAGATAGTCCACATCGTAGAAGCTTATTGCCAGAAAGTCTAGAGGCTCTCATATTTATTTTAAAAAATCTAATATATTATATATTACAATTTTTATAATTCATACTAACATAATAAATTATTCAAAATAAAATGGATATATTAATAAATATATAAATTTTTTTTTATCTATTATAATATAAATATTTTTAAATTATAGTCTTAATTATAGAAATACAAATATTAAAATAAAATTCATAATTCGATATTTTGCATAGAAAATATGCATTTACATTTGGTTCAAAGGGGGGTGGTAAAAAATCAATATAAATATTGATCGGTTTTGAATCAATATCGGATCGGTGAAAAATATGTGGATCGGCACAGCTCTACTTGAGGCAAAATACTTTATCAAATCAACTTAAACATTTTAATATTAATAACAGCCTATATTCATTATAAGAAATACAGGTAGTTTACTACTTTTTCTTAGATATATATATAAGTATCCTTTTAAAAATGTCAAAAATTTGTTACAAGAATTCGCAGTACTACTCAACTCTGATCATAACATATCTGCAAAAATAAGATCAATTATTTTGGCAGATAAGGTAAATTAGTTTATAGTCCAAAATAATATTACATGAGGATATTTTATATTTCTTTCATATTTTTCAAAGGTTTTGTCAAAAGCCAAATTATAATCGTAATTCTTGAGACATTTGTCAAAGGAACGCAGCTGATTTTTTGTAGGTTTGGGCAATATAACATTTTCCTTAATTTTTTTTAACATCAAAGGTAAAAAATAATATATCATAAATTTTAAATATTTTTATAAAGATACTTTAATATAACAAAAAACTTAATTAAATAACTGAAACTTCAAAATTTTTGTGTTTTTAAAAGCAAATTCTATCTTTAAAAATATGTAAAGAAAATGAGTTAATTTACATCCAGAGCTAAGATGTTAGTTTCTTCCTTAAACATTGGATCTTCCTCAAAATCAACCATTAAGTGATCATTTTCATCAACTATATTTTCGTCCGAAAAATATCTGGCTGAAGATAACTTAGGTATCATGTGAGTTTTGAAAGCCCTAACCCTTTTAACGATTTCTTCATTACTGCGCCTGTGTCTTATGGACAAAAGACCGTTTGTCATTCCTACACAAAGGATGTCATCTTTAGGCTAAGATTTATTAATATTTTTATTATAAATCACAAAGAATCGAGAATTATATCCAAATTTATAAAATCTTTACTGTATTTATATTTTAAAAAAATCTATCATAATTTTGACCTTATAATTCTGCCCTGCTGATAAATTTGAAATGTTAACAGCGAAATGATAAAAATTACCGTTAGCGAGAGGCTTAGAATTTCCTCGGGGTAGGCTAAAGAATGTATGTTTTCGTAGTTTGATATATCGTGGATCCTTAATTGTCTTTTTTAAGATAAAAAAACAAATAAATAATTTTTTCTAAATGGGAGTCACTATTAGATACCGGATATTGGATATAGTATCGGATCTTAAATATTGGTGCCTGACCAATTATATGAAAATAACCAGTTCCTACACTTCATATCATTTAAACATCCATCAAATTTTATAAAAAAATATTCTGTGTAAAATTGAAATTAAAAAACATCATGACTTTTTAGAGTAAACACAAAAAAGTGTATTTTAAAAAAGGGCCAAAGATAAAAAGTAAGCTCGAATATATAAATAATTTTAATGATAAAGAACTTATTTTTTACTTTGATTATTGTAATTCATTATTTTATAAAAATAGTTTATTCAACCAAATACCATTATTTAAATTTTTTAGATCGAATTTGATTAGCACTGATAAAAATACGGATAAATCTTAGTACCAATGAAAATTCTGGATCTGATAATCTCTTACAATTTATAAAATGAGGCCTTTACTAATATACATAAATTGAATGTATACTATTATAATCAATTTATAATTAATCCACTTAAACATCATGAAAAAGGCCTCAGTTGTGTCACTAGGTGGGGGACGCACAAGAGCTCAAACCTCCTGAAAACTTTTTTTATACCTAAAAAAGATTATTTTAAAAATGTTAGCTAAAAAAATGCCATTTTGTTGAAAATCATTTTGAAAATTTAAAAAAATATTTTTTGAGCTCCCTGTAATTGTAAAGGCTAGCCATGCTATTGTCTCAAATATTTATAATATTTGTGCTTTATGCAGTCATCTCTAACATTGCACGGATTTTTTTTAATAGAAACAAACATGTTATTATAATTTTATAAAGATTCCTGCAAAAAAGATAAATCATAAATTTTAATGTAATTATTAGGCAAAATATGGGATACTGAAAATTAGTCAAATTATGGAAATGAAACTTTATGCTTTTTATTGATATCGCTAATTTATGTTTATTTGGACAATCGTTTAATATATTGAAAGATTATTATTGCTAATTATAAATTAGATTAATATGAAACCTGGCGATTTTTTATGGACAATAAACGTTTAATATTGGAATTACCGAATTGGCTATATTCATAACCATTTCGCAATCATGGTATAACTATAAAATTTCCGTATAATTATCAAATATGATATTAATCTCAATATTACCAATATATACTAAAATCCGTATTTATTAAGATTTGTTACACAAAAAAAATACTGACTTACAGTTTGGTCATGGTAACACTGTTATATTGTCCAAAAAGCGAGAATACATTTCATAATATTAAGTTTCACTTCCATAATTCAAATAATTTTTACTATCCCAACATTATGAAAATTTATCATAAATCTTTTCTACATCCATAACCTAAATTTAATTCCTTTGTTTACGATATTTATTATCACTAACAAATATATTATAAAGCAAACCTGTTAACTAAACACCTGCTTTAATAAAATGTGACCTCAAAAATTTAATCTCAATAAATACTAACCTACTTCGCGACTGACATTTATAATTCCCTATTAATCACGTGCATGATTATTGATATTTACCATTAACTAATTAGTTAATATTTAAGAATTTATTTGTCATTATTAATTAAACATGGTCTTAGATACATTACATGCAATTAATAATGTGAAATATGGAAACGAACAGCATCCTACAAATAATTTTAACGCTTACCAATTACGGTGTTAATAAATAAAGTTAAAAAATATTAATAAAATTTTTTAATTATTATGAAACCATTTTTTTAAAAAAAATATATATAACAGAGATCTGCAGTGATACCATTTACACACTGCCAGGCCCTAATTTTTTTTAAAATTTTTTGGCCCGGCCTGGGTTTTATGTTTTCAGGTTTGTCCCGTATTTTTTAAAAAAAATTTTTATTATTAATAATGGTGATTTAAAATATTTGGTTTTAAAATATACTATCTGAAAAAAAAAAATTAGGCATAGGTATATTTTAAAAAAAATACGGCCCGGCCCGTGCAGGTCTCTGATATATATCTCAAAATATGTAAGTTTTAAAAAATTGATAATAAAATAACTTGTCGAGAGAAACAGATATCAATCTATCATTGAGTGGGCCACCAAGAGCCAACGATGTTATCGATTTTGAATGCGGAGCAAATGTATGTAATTGCCTACCATTTTGAGATATATCCCACGCTTTTATGATATTATCACCTTATTCGTTTTTATATATAAAATATGCTTAATTAACAAAAAATTCGTTTTGCTAAAATAAATCAATTTCAAGATGCAAGCGATGAGTCTAATCAAAATAAAGTAGTAAAATAATATCACGACTCTAAATTAGACAAACATCAAAATATTCCTTACATATTGAAGTATAAAAATCTTTAAAGAACTGATTTAAGGACCCCCAAAACAAAACAAAAACAGAAAAAAATAAAAATCCCACCATAAAAAATATTATATCGGAATTACGAAAATATAATTCAGGGCCCATGCTTAGTCAATTTGAAATATTATATTTTAAAGATTTAATGGTTGGGTCATGTTGAACCAAAAAATTGATGATGACTGAAGAGTCGCATAAATATCGAATTATACCGAAAATAAAACTAGAGGGAGACCGAAAAATAAATAGTAAGGTGGCTTTGATGTGAAGTTACTTAACCTTAAATTGGGAGAAACTCAAGAGCAAAATAATAGGACACAGTGTCTAAAGAGAGGGGAAAAAATTATTGAAGGCAAAACGCCAAGATTTACCACAATGTTCTCTAAAATATTTTTTTTACTCCCTACTGTAAAAATTCATGAAAAAGAAAACGATTGTAAACTCCATCGAAAAAACGGAATGAGATGATATCCCTTATACAAAATCATTTAAATTTTATTTATTTTTAATATATAAAAATATCAAACATTTTTTTATTTTAAATTTAAAATATCGACGTTGATGGCGATACCCTATAATTAATTTTCAATGATGTTCTTTTCCGCTTCTTTCAATTCTTTACAAAAAGTTAAACAAAAAAATCCATGAATCGGATAATAATGATCATTACAATTTCAAATGCATTATTGCCTGTTAAAAAATATTTTATCAAAATATAAGTAAATAAAACAAATATGTAAAAAAGATTGTAAATACAACACCTAATCCGAATGTGTAACTCAGAGAACTTTAAAAATTCGCATCGGCCAACAATAAAAAATGTGATATATAAAAAATTTAATTATCTAACAATCAAAAACGCACCAGCAGTAAATAAAATTCGATCGTTCGGAAGCAGAAGGAGGCTTTGTATGGGAGAACCGTGATCAAAACTCATGCCATTATTCGAAACGCAATTTTGTTCTGTTCTGAAATCAAATATTCTCGCGGTGTGATCATAAGAGCCGGAAACAAATAAATTGGAAGATTCTGAGTGGAATACTGACCCACACCTAATATAATCCTAAATGGGGAAAAAGAAGCTTTAATTGCTAGGCATAAAATAAGTGATTAGTAATATCTTTCGACAGTATAATAGAAAAATAAGGTAGAAAAGAAAAAATTATCAACTTTCAGCAAACAAATTAGATTTTTTAAATTGTAGAATTTGCCATTTATACTTTTCTAGCTATTTATTAAACCACTTGACTTTTTTAGTTTCACTATGCTTGAATTTTTTTAAAAAAGAGTTGAAAGTTTTTTAGTATGTAATAACATGAATAATTAATATCTTTTACAAAATAAATATTGAAATTAATTTATGGAAATAATGGTACTTCGTGTATATGACGACTAGATAACATGTTGCCTGTAGCTATGTCCCAATGTTTTACTGATTTATCGTCAGAACAAGATATCACGTGATAATTATCATTTGTAAATTTAGTTACATGAACTTGGCTTTAAAATAAAAAATAGATTATAATCGAATGAAACCTAGAAATAGGTGCATCGTGCATTATATGCAAAATCCACCAATTATTTGGGGAAATGCCTAAGATATTTTTTAAAATTTTCATATATAAAAATAACTAGTTTCAACCTATTTTTTTTAAAGTAACTTGTAACCAGGGGAATTGTCAATACCAAGGCTGATTCTTTATAAAGTTAAAGGTCTCAAAACCAGAAATCAAAATAATTTATTAATAAAAAATTTATATAAAATCATTTTTTTGATTCTTATAACTTATATTATAAATCTTTTTATTGTTTAAATAATTTATTTTTATTAACTCTTTATATATAAAATTGGCCAGTTGGCGGATTTAAACTATAAAGCTATAAGTAGACCTGTCCGCCGACAGCTCGGGGGCGGCGTCAAATACTTTTCTAAATTAAATTTTTTAATTAAAATTAATTCATTGGAAACCCTTTTAAAATAAAATTTATGTTTATAACTATAATTTAACGATTTTATCAAGTTATAATTATCATGTATAAATATTATTTTATTAAGATTTATAGAACATAATGATGATCATTTAGAGTTCAGAGTGAGCCCAGCTATGAAAAATACACGCTCGCTGGGTGTGCTCGTAGCTGGAACGCACAGGACCTTTCTAGCTAATATTAAAAGTTTAGGAAGATCCAATACTCTTATCTTCAAAAAAATCTAAGACATCTTTTATCTCTAAATTCTGAGGCGAAAAACACTCCTTTTCTAGACTAGTTAAATAGCCTTGTTGTTCCAGGTTATATATGAATATTTGGTAGTCTCTTTATGATAAAAAAATAAATTTTAAGTGATGAGTTTTAGATTGTATAGAAAATATTCTATTACTCCTTATAGAATAATTGATGGTCTTATACAAAAGATTTGAAATATCAAAAATTAAAAGAATAAAATATATAATATTTCAATACCTTTTCTGTAAATTACTAGCCTAATAATAACACATCATCTTATTACAAATCAAATGTTTTTATTTTTTATAGCAAATAATATTTAATAATTTTAAAAATAAAATCGCATTTTTAATATTATTTTTCTTCTAATTACAATTCATAAATAATAAAAAATAAATACGCCGCCACGCCGCCGAATTTTTGCATCGATGGCGACGTGTTGAGCACCGACACATTTTGGCGGTGGCGTCGGCGTAATCAAATATCTCCGGAGGCGCACAGGTCTAGTTATAAGTCATTAAATAATAATAATTGAAAAAATATATTTAATATAATTTTGAATTTGTTGTAAACAAAATTTCTTAACAATCATAAATTGTTTTTACTAGCCAATGAATAGTAAGGGCAAAAAGGTTGAGAGTAGCTTAGTTATTTTTTCTAAAAAAAGTAAGTAGTCGATTATTGGATCAAACCTTTAAAACCCGGTTCAAACTTTTTCGCATATAAGCATATAAAATCATATAAAGAAAAACACATTTATTATAAAACAACTAATTTTTACAAATTATCAAGATAAATAATAATAAGTAAGTCTATCAAACGACCAAATAATATTTCTTCATGATATTAATGCTGGAAAATCTTATTATTTATGCTTAAAAATGGAAAAAAGTTTAAAAAAATAATAATCTTAACAAAACGCGTTATTTTATAAAGGAGCGCCTTCTATTTTTGAAAAATATAAATTTTTTGATTTTTTTAATTCGCAATAACTAAAAAACCCATGGCTGTCCCAAGTTTAAATTTTTTTATAAATAGAGATGTTAGTAAATAAGAAAATATTAAATTCAAAAAAATTTGGAAAGCGAAACACCTGGAATTTTCATAAACCGCAACAATATTTTTTTTTAAAAATCCTTAATATTTAATAAAAGGCCTTTAATAGAGTTACAAAATGATATATAACTTACATTTTTAAAATCTTTATTTTTTAACTTATCTCAATTTTAAAAAATCGTAATTTACGAAAAAATGTTTTTGGCATTTTGACCATTGATATCTCAGGAACTATGAGTACTAGGAGGCTAAAATTTAGGATTCAATGCTTTCTAATAATATCCTCTCAGTATGCAAAATTTTATCATGTATTATTTTAAATCTAGTTTTCAATTGCTTTATGATTTCACATTCATTATTAATATTAAAATTATCATCTAGAGAAATTTTCAAAACATCTTTCTTAATTTTTTTTATTGGATTTTCATTTTTCCTCAATATGAAATCTTTTTTGGCTTAAGCGTTTTTTCCTTAATTGATGTCTTGCTCATTAATGATGGTAAGAAATTATTTGATGACGAGGGGCAGCATCATAAATATATTCCTCATAAAATATAAATGTGGAAGGAAATGTGATACTGGTTCAAGCTTAATTTTTTATGGCAGATACTGCAAATTTTATTGTTAGTTGTTAAAGATTGATTAATCATGTTTACCCAAATTGAAAAGATTGCCATATACTTAAAAATAAGAAATTTTTTTTAGGAATGTAGTAAATATATTATATAAAATAACAAGAGCCTCCCCCCCCCCTTCACTTCCAATCTTTTATTTAAATACTTAACATATTTAAAAGCTTTTAACTTAAATATATTACAATGAATGATTTATCAAATATTTATTATAAAAAAATTTACAATCGGCTAATGATTAAAATGTCATATGCCATAAACCTGTTAAAAATTTTGCATTATTAATTAATCCTATAGCCATAAATGAAAAATAATTCTGATTTGATATTATGATTATTTTGGGTTTTTTACATTTAAATTTTTAAACAATATTTAACATCATATAAATTTAAAAAGGCCTAACGTTAGGCTATATAAAGTTAAAGAGAGTGCATTAAAAAATCCCGATTTTTTCGATTTTCAGAGGCCCATATCTCAGCTGCTGTTAGGAGTTGGAGGCTACAATTTTATTTTTTCTTAATTATAATATATTTAATAGTGACAATGTGTTATTTTTTCATTAAATCATTTTTTGATGTTTCTTAAAATTTAAAAATCTGATTTTAGGGGAAAAGTATTCCTGCATATTTAGAATACCTATCTTATAAATTGTAGACAATTTTGACATGAACATTTGAGTCATTTATAATCTATGGAAAAAAATCTATGGAAAAACTTAAATTATATTAAGTTCAAAAGTTCATCGCAAAATTGTTTGAAATTCATAGTGTAGGTATTCCAAACATGGTGAAATATATTTCCAGTAAAATCAGATTAATTTTAAAAAAACGTACTCAAAAAATGATTTAAAGTTGAGAAAAAAGACATTGCTGGAAAAAATTATCACTAACATATGCAAATATAGTAAAAATTTCAAAAAAATCTGAGGGGGTAAGGTTGACTTGTCATGAACTTCACCATATATAACAGAACTTGCAGAAGGTACCATTTGCATGGCCGATGCAGATTTTTTTTGTAAAATTTTTAATTCAGCACTTTTATAGCTAATAATAGTGATTTTTAATATTTGGTTTTTGTTAAAGATGAAAAAAAAAGTTTTTTTATCCCCCTCTTATATTATGGTTAAGATGAAAAAGTTTTTTTAATCCACCTCTTTTGTTCATGTTAAAGTTAAATAAAGTTTTTTAATACCCCTCCTTTGTTTACAATAAAATGAAAGTTAAAAAAAAGTTTCTCTTTTTGGTCCCTCCCTTGTTTTAAGTTAAACACAGTGAAAGTAAAATATATGGCTTTTGTGTTTTCTCTCACTTTACTGGATTTCTTACTTTAGGATACTCAGTAAGGTGATCCGAAAATATGAGTTAGACCGTTGGGTCCGGGAGACCACCCTGCATCCCAAGGTATATTTTGAGTTTCGGGAAGTATAGGGGGGTAGGTTTTATACGCAATTATGCACGATAAAACTAACACAACTCGTTTCCACAAAAACGCTCTTTTTTTCACTTTGCTCCAATAATTTATAATTTGCGCCTTTTATTTTCCCTATAAAAGGGACGAATTTTTTATAGTTTGAATATACTTTATTTTTTCTGTAAAATAATTTTGAAAATCTTTATTAATACACATTTTTTATGTTTTTATTAATATTTTTTAGTTTTGTAAAATTTTGATAAAAATTATTTTAGTTATTTTGTTAAACAATAAATTTTGATAATAAATTATTATGACTACGACCCGATCTCAAAATCATTTAAACGAAGTGTCTCAAAATTCTTCACTAGCGCTCTGGTTGGGGCTCGAACCCAAGACCGTTAGGCTGTTTTTGTGGAAACGAGTTGTGTTAGTTTTAGCGTACATAATTGGGGATAAAACCTACCCCCCTATACTTCCCGAAACTCAAAATATACCTTGGGATGCAAGGTGGTCTCCCAGACCCAACGGTCTAAATCATATTTTCGGATCACCTTACTGAGGACTCCTAAAGTAAGAAATCCAGTAAAGTGAGAGAAAACACAAAAGCCATATGTTTTACTTTCACTGTGTTTAACTTAAAACAAGAGAGGGACCAAAAAGAGAAACCTTTTTTTAACTTTCATTTTATTGTAAACAAAGGAGGGGTATTAAAAAACTTTATTTAACTTTAACATAAACAAAAGAGGGGGATTAAAAAAACTTTTTCATCTTAACCATAATAAAAGAGGGGGATAAAAAAAACTTTTTTTTTCATCTTTAACACTCCTCCCCCCTAAACAGGCCACGGGGAGGGAGGGGGATGATCCTAGTCTCGACTAAGCTTCAAAATCCTAGGTTTATTACGAGTTCCCGAAAACGTCTCCCCCCCCCCCAAACACAATCAATTCCCTAGAAAAGTATAACTAAATTATCATTGCAAAACTAATTCACACCCCCCCCCCCCCCACCTTTAATAGGCAACGGGGAAGGGGGAATGGTATATATTGATTGGGAAAAAAAAATTTAAAAAAAAAATATTTATAGTTAATAAATTGAATATTCGGGAAAAACGTTTATATTTATAAAAAGAGGAGGGGGGGGGAATATTGGTAATTAATTGTTCGATTTATCGGG